AGCTTGTGTCATTATCTCTTTTCATTCAATTAGCTGAATTTAAAAAACACTGGACAACTTACTATATTTTTTAAGAGAGAATGAAATAAATGATTTAAAATTATTTTTATCATTATTCTCATCATTAATTATAGTAGTATAATATATGAATAATAATATTATAATTTAAAACTTTTACAACAGCTCAATTTATCTTTTATTTGGCAGGGATTCAGAAGGTATGTCTTAAGGTCTCGTTTTCGAACCACAGAGAATTGCTTATCTTGTTGAGGATGAGACAGAAGCTCCATGTCGAAACCTATTTAATTCATCAAAAGTGTTTTTCCAAATGAAAAGAGCCTTTGTGGAGGAGGAAGATGATTGGGAAACGAACACATAATGAAGTTTGTTTATATGTTATGGAATCGATACACGTATTTAAAAAAAGAAAAAAAAAAATTAAATAATTTCACTGTTTACCGCTCAACCACCTCTTTCCATAATAACAAATTATACCGTGACGTATCATATAGATTTATGTATAAAGGTGATGATGTATATTGAAATTTTCATTTGACCGTTTGAACTTTGAATTGAATTTTAGGCTCTCCCTCATATTCGGTTGTTGAACGAAAGACGTTTACAATGTTTGACTATTATATAAGTTTTTTTTTTTTTTTTTTTTTCCCCAGACTATCGAATATGACCATCTGAGAATGAATTCAAAATAGAACCGCGTGTGATATTCTGAGCTTTAACAACTATGCCGTGACTAGCTTTAACAACTATGCAATGATACAATTTGTCAATATATATATATTCATTGTAAATACGAATTACTGACCAAGTCTTTCTCTTTCTAATTTTGTGGAAATATTACTGTAATTTTATTTTTATTTTTTTTGTTTTGCTTTTCCAACAAGCATTTTTAAAAGTCGTATTGCTTGTCAAATACTCCCATTTTAGGTGTAGGAGTTTTAACTTTGTTAGACGATAATCTTTATTATTATTTTATTATATTAGTAATAGATAAATTATCAAATTTATTTTTAATGGGTTAAAAGTGATGCAATGATTTACTCTTTATAGGATCAATACAAGAAGATTGAAGTGATAATATTATAAAAAATAATACAGTTTTCAAATTGAAAATTTATTTCAGAACAAATAAAAATGAAAATGAAAGTTGAACACTTGCCCCATTTGGCATGCGTGTTATTTTTGTTTTTTGACTGCTACAGTGTCGTTTTGACAACAAAAATGTGTTTGATGCGATCTTATTTTATTTTACACAATGCTAAAACACTTCGTGTGCCTAAAGCCATATTTTGCATGTTTCTGTTTCTGACATTTTTATAACAAAATATCATTACCAAACGTGTTTTTAATTTTTTTCCAAAATACTTTTACAGCAAAAACATTAGTTATGTTTCAGCAGCAAAAAAAGGAACCGCGGATGTTGAGCCCCTTAAAAAATCGAGTAGAGCATTATCCATAAGTTCATAACCCAGCCATTTTTAGCTCAAATATTGCATGAATATATGAAAAATTATATTTAAGCCATTGTGTTTGACCTAAAATACTAACTAATGAATATTTTAAGTGGAAATTAAACTTATTACTTATAACAAATATTAGCGATAAAACTAGGTAAAACTTGTTAGTGTTCCGCATTAAAGGTTAGAGTTATCCGCGCGTATTCTCATGTTTTGACTTTTGAGCATATAAAAAAATAATCTAGAAAGACAAAACCTGCGATTTGTGGATTTATGTTTATTAGCAACTAATCTGAGTTACCGAAATAATTAATATTGAGATGCGTTTTGTTGACCAGTGTCTATTAACTGACTCTTCAGCGTTGTTTAGTTTATTTCTCAACAGTAAAGCCAACTATGCAAATAAAAGACTAATGCATTGTAGGGGTGGGGCTTGGGCTTAGCCCACACCAAATTTAATGTTCTAATATCTTAGTTCACGCCACGCCCAAGTTTCGTGAAATTCATTACAATTCAATCCACGTCATATCACATGGGTTGCCGACTTTTTTCGGGTTCCTTGTGTCGTCCCGTATTATAAATAAACATTAATTTCAACAAAAGATAAAAGAAAATGCCATTGTGAAAATAGTAGATAGAACTTAGAACAACAATAAGTGCACAAAAAGCATTTGCCTCTGGGGGCTTGGCTCGGTTGGTAGGTGCTTGGTACTGGCTCACACTAAGCCAGTGTTCGATCCCTGTCAACTTTGTTATCATCCCCGATTTATTCGGTGTATTCTTGGGGCGAGACTCTGCACCCCCAAGTTTGTAGCCTAGGGTGGGTCCCAAAGGGGCCTTGCCTAGGGGAGTTCCTGGTGCTAACTAAAAAAAAAAAATGCACAAAACTTGCTATTTTATACTCAATAATAAATAATTAATTAATATTTTCTATTAAATAAATATATTTATCCATGCTTTCTTGTTTTATAGGAACTGATTTCGAAATAAGAAGAAAATAGACAAAAAAATATAAAAAAATGTTCAAGCCAAAACTGGAAAACATATCAGGCCAATTTGAAAAGCATCAAGATTTTAGGAATATTTTATATTTTTATTTTGTTTTATTTTCATTTCTGTAATTAGAATTTTTCCCTTCCAATCATTTCATTCTAAACTCTATAAATAGGGGCATATGTAGAGTATGTTGTATGAACGTTGTTATTAAGAGAAAATAATAAAAGTTAGAGAATTTTTTTCTTGAATTTTTTTCTTATAATTTTTTTATGAACAACATTTTTATTTTTATGTTTTATTTTCTCGTTAATATGCTAGCTTAAGCACCCCTTCTCAAGGGATGAAATATACCAAAGATATATATATATTTCTTGTATTTCAGGTTCCTCGGGTAAGTAAAATCTTTATCCAAATCCCACCGAAAATAAATCCGGGTATTAAAATTTAAATCCAATACCAATCTCAATCCCATGGTCCCAATACCTTGCCTACACATAAAATTTTCGGATGAGAATCGGATTACTCAGGTTAGTCTTACCCAAGTCCGACCCCTAATTTTTAGTAAAAGTAGAAAGTAATGGGTTTGTCCTATTTTGCATAATAAATGAAATTTTAATTTAAGTATTTCACTCACATGATTAAACATTATTTTTTTTTTTTATTTTCTTTGAGTAATATTTCTTATTTTATAAAACAACTATTATATTATCCTTTTTTTTTTTTGCGGTCGTAATATTAGGTAGCTAAGAAATTGCAGAAAATTAGCAAAAATGTCAATATTTAGATGGACGTGTAACAAAATAAGAAATGATACAGCTACAAATGAACACACTAATGATATATTTGAAGTTATAAAATTCGGGCGATAAAATGAGAGAAAGTTTATGTGTTACATGTGTAGTAAAATAAGAAATAGTACAAATACAAATGAACAAATTAATGAGATTCTTCAAGTTACACAAATTTAAAATAAAATAAGAGAAAAACGTTGCAATGATTTTACATGTGCAAAAAACACTTAGTGCACCAATTAAGAAGAATAAAATGACTCGTATATTTTTTATTTTATTTTTCTTGCATGTTAAGTGAAGGAATAAAATATAATTTATGTAACAATACTAAATAGTTTTATTTTATTTTATTATTATTTTGAATTTACGAAGAACTTATTGTTTTCCGTGCTCAAAGTTTTCTTGAGTTGTTTGTTTGTATGGTTCAGTGGAGTTGAATCCTTTCTATAGTTCTCGTGTCTTTCCCCTTTCTTCTAGGTCCGATCGTTTCTGTTTCCTGTTTTCTATTTTTGTAAGCACAAAAGATGTTTAATAATATTTGTTGAGATCTAGGGTGTGTTCATTGTTTTATGTGCTTAAAGTTTTGTCTGTATGTTCAATCGAGTTGAATCATTCTATAGTACTCATGCGTTTCCTCTTTGTAGGTCTGATCGGAATCGTTCCTGTTTCGTGTTATTTATTTTTGTCAATGTATTGTAGCGAATTAAAAACATAAAATATATTTATTATTGTTTGTTGAGATTTAGGGTGCATTTAGTAAAAAATTCGTTTTTTATTTTTACAGTCTTAATAAAGTAGAAATATGATTTTATATTCTTGAGTAAAAATAGAAAGTATAAATAATGTTTATTAACATTTGTTGTTGCCACAATTTTGATAACATAAAACAATAACAGTGCTTAATAATGCATCTTTGTTACTAAAGGTACATAATATTCTTTAAATTTTTTATTTTTTGATTTATTTATTTTTTTTATATTAAGAATTTTAGGTATTACCGATTAGAGGAGAGGGGGAAGGGAGATGACTTGAATACAGATTTGAACACGGACTCGCAAACAAAGAGCAACACAACTACTCAGATATTATACTTACTTCCATTAGTATTTAAAAGGCATATATTTACAAAATCTAATTTAAAATTACAAATCTTAATAATAGCCAATACACCATAAGTACAAAATTATATATACTAAGACAAAAACACTTCCACCCATTATGTATATAAATACATATATATGAATAATGTATACATTTATTATGTGATACATAATATATTTAGCATATGATAATTTATTATGAATAAAAAATATATGTAATAAAATATATATCGTATCATAATAATGCAAATTAATTATAATTTAATATTTACATATGTTATAATATAAATATGATATATAATAATATAAAATATATATTGCATAATAATTTAATAAGATTATATTCTATATAAAAAATTAATTTGTCACAAAAAATAATTTACATTATTATTTAATATATTATATATTAAAATATATTTTTATCAAATAAAAATAATATACAATATTTAATATATTTAGGGCTTTATTATTAATTATTTAATTTTTCAAATTTAAAACAATTTTTTATAATATTGAACAAACTTCAAAACAAAATCGTAGAATTTACTTTGCTAGTAAAAACACAATGTGCTTGCCAAAAGGGCCCATAATCCGAGGAGTTTCCTTCCATTTTACCCCTTTTATGTTTCATATATTTCCGTTTCTTTCCATAATGCTTGCCCAAACGCCCCGCTAGGTTCACAGTTCGCTAACAAGCTTGGGAACACCAGATCGGAAGACGGAAGACGGAAAACGGAGAGGTAAAGTCGCAGAGCGGATTAGATCAATTCAACGCAGAGCAAAGGTAACTCTCGTCGACTCACTACTGTTGTTTGATCAGCTCCGTAACTCTTTTCATCCTTTTATCTCCGAAACGCAAAAGAGGAAACAAACCCTAGCTCCAGACGATTCAGTGTCTGCTCTCCAATGGAAGCAGAATTAGTCGGTTGTTTTAGCCTTCGATCTCTCTCAATCATATCATTAGAAACAAAGTTCTCACTTTTTATCATGATGCTTGACTTTTCACACTGAAGTGGACTCCAATTGCAAATGGGAATAGTTGTATTGATTTAACTCTTTCTAATCCATCCAATGTCATCCCCATCTGTCTCGTTCTACACACACATTTGTGTGTATACGTATTTGATATATCATGGAGCAAACCCTAGTTGCCCCAAAAGTTGTAATAATGTTTTATTGGTTGCTTGAGTTTGTGTTGCTGCGCATTGAGGATTGGGTGGGGGCGAGTGAGTAGTTGCTTAGATGTTATGAACAAAGGGTCTGGATTCTATGCTGTAGCAGTTTTCAAAGCACCTAAATCCTGTTTCAACATATTTATTTTATATTTCAGCACAATTTCATCTCTAGAACAAATGTGTTAGAAACACAACTTAAGTGTGTTGAAGCTAGTAATAATAATGTTGAAAAGAGATTTCACCACACTTAAATCCAGTTTCAACACATTTGTTGAAAATTTAGAACAAATGTGTTGAAACAAGATTTAAGTACGTTGATTTTTTTTTTTTACAGCAGGGATCCCTTACAGCAGAGGATCCAGACACATGAATGAAATGTTTGAAATGAGTGTGTTTTCCCAACACAGATATCGCATTGTGTCTGTCATATGTTTATGTATTTACTTGTAAAAATAAACTGAAATACATGCATTGAAAGGATATGCAAAACAAAATCAGATCGATTCGGTTTCACTAGATGTTTAAATGCCATCTTAGCCTTTCTCATTTTTTCTTTTTCATTGGGAAAGTACAATTATAGTGTGTGAATTTTGTGGGTTTTCACTTTTCACACTGTCTGCCCTCTATGCGGGCTATTACTTGTTGAGTTGACCCACCTTTTAGTCTTCAAACCCCTCCGATAATGCCTTATTTAAATTGATTCTTGGAATTACGTATCTTTAGGATGGTTGATTGTGAGATATTGGAAGTTACGCTTTAGACTAGGGCCTAGGCGACTAGCTCATTTCATCGGAAGCTATGGTTGTTGAGAAAAAATTCTCCCTACAGTTGTGGTCATACGTTCATTTTGTCTATGCTGATATTGTTTTTACTTTGTATACAGAAACTTTTCTTTTTCACTCATGCCTATTGGTTCTCTCATTCTCTTTTGCTCCCCCCTTCCCCCACCCCAGATGACTTGTCTGATTGCTGAGAACTTGTTAATAAAGAGACCAAAATTTTTAATTCTTGTTATATGTTAATATTGAATTGGATGTTCTAAAATTTCAACTGTTTTGGCAATTAAATAAATATCTTTGGTCGAATTATAAATATATTTTTAACATGGTCCAGAAATGATCATTTCCTGTGTTTTGTTGTGTATTCTTGCAAGTGGTCTGCTAAACACCACCACTTTAGTGTGTAATTACATATGGACTATTAAAATACTCTGTAACACGATTGCTTCAGTGTGTATCTTACAATGGACTCTGGAAAGAGAAACTAGTGAAATTGTTGCCCACTTCATCAATTGATCATGAACCTAATTTGAATTAAACATCTATTAGCTAAATATATAGAATACTGAGGGATATATTACATATTTTCCAGGGTTATTTTCTTCAATGCACTTAAGAGAATTCTGAGTAAGGTAAATGTATAAATATAAAGCAGTGTTACCTCATCTCATGACAAGATCCTTTCTTTATGGTAGATGTCAAGCGCTTGGACAAATTTGAGCTTTGGAATCATACATAGGGATGTAGATGGGGAGTGGGAGAAATCAGGGTGGAGTTGTGGGTATTTATATATAATTGGAGGTTCTTGCTCACTCTCAGAAGATCTATGCATCTGCAAAATCTTAGAGAGGATAAAGAGATCAAATTTTATATCAAATAAATTATAGCTGTGGAGCATCTTGGAGCATTTTAAGCAGTCGAGCTTGTGGAGCACCGCTCACTTCAAGGATTGCTCTCTTGGTTTGCTTCATGGTTTTGGATTTTATTTATCTATTCTTGTCAAATTGAGTACATGGCAATGGAATGTGAATATCAGAATATGATGAGTTTTCGAAATAAAATAAATTTGGGCTCTGTTCACAAGGTGTTATCTTCTTACGCAGCGCAACTTCTATTCACTTAGCAGCCTCTCCGGTTCTGAAAATGAGTGGTCGCTTTTCTCGCACAATATATGTTGGAAACCTGCCCGCAGATATAAAAGAATGGGAACTTGAAGATCTATTTTACAAGGTTTGATTTGAATCTCTTTACATTGTATCTACTTTTATGTCAGTGAAATTTAAACTTCAGCATTTTCAGTCAGGCGATTGGTCCTTTCTGTTATTGAACCTCATAATTAGCTGCTCCAATTTTTTAAGGCATTGTGCATTTTCCACATATTCACATTTGTTAGTTCTCTAAATTCCTGTGAAGTTTTGCTTTATGCATTGCTTCACCACTTTGCATTAGTTCAAGAATTAAAATGCATGCCTGTGTTGATTCATGTATGCTCTACTCAACTCAACTCAATGAAGCATTTTCCCAACTATTTGGGGTTGGCTACATGAATCCTTTTGTTTCCTTCCGCTTTATCTCAATAGCTCTATTAGACCACATGCTTATCATTCATGTATATTGTATGTGAAAGTTAAGGCCATTTTTGTATTTGACTACTACAATTTCAGTTGATTGCTATGTGGCTACATCAATCTAGGTAGACTTACTAGAAAACAGAGTGCACATTGGTTTTGACTCCTTTGGGTCGATATCTGAGTACGTCTGAAGTGAAAATAAAGAAAGAAAGGAGACTGCTAGCTAGCAGTTGGTAGTGTAAAACTGCAAGTGAGTTGGAAATAAAGTTCCCCCACCCAATATATATATATATATGTGTGTGTGTGTGTGTGTGTAAAACATGGAAGGTTCTGACAAAAACAAAGACTGATGAAAATGGGAAGTTGTTTGTTGAACACAGTTGTTGCACGCTCTCTCTCCACATACACTCATATATATATATATATATATATGTTGTGCGTGTGTGTGTCTGTGTTGGATTTGAGTTGGATAGCATGGCTTGCTACTGTTTTTCATGCTTACTATGTACTCCCTCCGTCCCATTTTAATGGTCCCTTTTTGGATACCTAACTTTTTAAGTTGATGACTTTTAGTGTCTTTTATTGTATTAGTAGTGAATGAATTACCAATCTACCCATAGTGGGTCCACAGTGATGTGACGGTTTACACTTTAGTTGTTTTTATACATTCAATGCAAGAAGGTTAAATTGGTAATGTTACAAAAAATAGTACATTAACTTTTCAATTGGGACGTAGGGAAGTATAATTTTTCTTTATACTAGATGGATAATTTAAAATCCAGGGTTAGTGTGTATGTAGCATAACAGTGATGGTAATCAGGTTTCATTTTGGAGGTAATGGCTTTGAAATTCAGGGTTAGTGTGCATGTAGCATAACAGTGATGGTAATCAGGCTTCAGTTTGGAGGCAAAGGCTTTGAAGTTGGTAAGAAAAGTAATTTAGAGGAAAGAGGAAAACACAGTATAGAGGGTGAGTAAATCTGTAATACTAATTTTTTTTTTTAAAAAAAAAAAAATTGTGAGGTTGACATCAAGACTTGAAACCTTTTTATTTGGTTGATAGCCATATAAAGCAGAAGAATTGTAGGCATTTGCATCAAGCTCAAACTTCCTACTTGCATGTGTTCCCTCTCGAAGCACATACTGTAGTAAGAATTAGAAGTTTATTGATATATCAAAAAAAAAGAAAAAAAAAGAATTAGAAGTTTATTGGCAACATACTCAATGAAATGGGTGATTTCTTCTCCCTCAAATATCCAACAGTTGTTGGCATGTTTGAATACACTTTTTTTCTGTCTTGCAGTATGGCCGTATATTGGATATTGAATTGAAGGTTCCACCCCATCCTCCATGTTACTGTTTTGTGGAGGTACCTTCTCTCTCTCTATTTCTTTTCGTTTTTTTTGTTTTTTGTTTTTTTTTTTTTTTTTGCTCACTTTAAAGTTTAATTTTTTTTTTGGGAAAAGTAAGCTCAGTGTCAGTTTTTTCATAATTTTTAATTGTTTGGTTTATATATTGATAGTTTGAGAACTCTCGGGATGCTGAAGATGCAATCAGGGGTCGAGATGGCTATAACTTTGATGGTTGTCGTTTAAGGGTAATAGGCACCTTCACCTTTTTTCACTGGTGGTCCATAATGCTGTCTTTTTTTACTTAAGTTCTCATTTGTCCGGTATGCAGGTTGAGCTTGCGCATGGTGGCAGAGGGCAATCATCTTCAAGTGATCGTCGTGGTGGCTATGGTGGCCGCGGTGGTGCCAGTGGGGCGCGTTTTGGCATTTCACACCATTCTGAATTTAGAGGTACCGCTAAAACTAAAGATATTTTTTTTTTGATAATTACCACTAAAACTAAAGATTATTATTGGCATGTACACTATGCCCGTGGTATCTGTTCACCATCTTTATATCCTTAATTCTAAATTTGATTTTAACATCCTCATATAATTCTGACTTCAAATCTTGTTTTGGAATACAGTTGTTGTTCGAGGGCTTCCTTCATCTGCTTCTTGGCAAGATTTGAAGGTAGGGAGTCATATACTTGCCAATAACGCATCTATTATTTTCACATCTATGCAGCCATAATGGTAATATGGTGGGGAAATTATTGCAGGATCATATGCGAAAAGCTGGTGATGTGTGTTTTGCTGAAGTTTCCCGGGACAGTGAGGGTATGTCTTGTAGTGTCATACAAAAGCATTTTTGGTGCCGTAATATATAGTTGTTATTATTATAAATGACATCGTTGATGACACATAGGTGGGCAGTGGAGAGTTATATAAACATTGAGGGTGTGGTTGTGATTGGGGTTGGGTTCAGAGATTGGTTGGAGGAGTGGGGGTGCAATAATTTGCTTTTGGGTTCTTTTACTTTTGCTCCCTTCTCTCGTTTTCCGTTTCAATGGCTCTCTCAAAAGTAAATGTATTATATTATAGATCACAGTGCAGTATGAACTCTGTCTCGATATGGTGTTTAATTTTAATTTTAATTTTCATATATGTTGATAATAAATGAGCCATTGCCTGGTGTGGTGGTAGTAAAATGCTTAGGCTGTCAAGCGCGGGTTTGAATTCTGACAGTAGCTACTTTGTGCAAATAATGGCAAAGGTTAGGTATGTATCCAATATACCCCTCCCAGCACCCTCGATCAATGGGGATTAGGGACTACACTGGGCGATGACTTTTAAATATTTTGAAAATGAAATTTGGGTATTTTGATCAAAAAAAAGTTTTTCCCCAAAATATATTTAGAATTGAAACCAAACACCGGAAAATAAGAAGAAAAATCATTTTCAGTAGAAATATGTTTTACATCAAAATAAATGGACCGAAAAGAGGAAAAACTTTTAGGTGTTGTGGGTGTCCGTTGGGAGGTGTATTGGCAATATAGTGTAGTCTACTAAACAAGATTTAGCTATTATGAAAAGAATTAGTTGATGAATCCTCTTTAGTTACAATGGTAACTTTTAAAAGTTCAACATCGCCAGAAAGAAAATGTTTAAAGTTGAGTGAATTATTAACCTAAATATTTCTGTGGAGTGATTTGAGTAAATCTTAGAGGAAGTTTAATATGATAAATATGAAACTTGTTAGGTAAGAAGATTTGTCCCCGTGCTGTAACCAGAAAAATTCTATCTAAATAACTGAAACAACATCATAATTATTTTTGTGCTTCTTTTTCTATTTTAATGTTTGGTCAACACACACTTTTTAAGTGAAGAAAAAAAAAATAGATTCTTGCATATGAAACCTAAATCAATGATGACTTCTGTCTGTTCTTGTGTACATTTTCAGATCATTCTTGCCTTGGGGTAAGAACATGTTTGACAGTCTCACTCTGTTTCTGTGCTAAGATTGCTTTTATTTTATTTTAATTTTCTTGTTTCTGTTAATAAATTTAAGAAATAGTAGATTTTAGCGTCAAATGTATACTTTGGAGTTTAATTGGGCAACGTAATGACAAGTCTATGAGCTGGGGCTATGAGAAACCATCAGAACGTGTTAGGTCATGAGCTGGAAGGTGTGGTGTTATTTTACTATGTAAAGGAAGGTCTACCAAAGAGGATGGGAGTTGATTATGTTGTCTGGGTTAAACAATGTCAATGATTCAAATAACATGAACCATTCCTGAAACTCTGATGGTAGTTAAAGAGCTCCAGAAACTGAAGAATGAAAAAGTGTGTCCGTAAGCACAAACAAAATACAGTGTCAAGTGTGGGAATTCTATAATTTGCAGTCACTAGAAAGTACGGACACTTGTCATTTGTAAATAAATTTTATTCCTATGTATTTGGGTAGCCTTTCTGAAAGCTAGTGTAGTCAAATGAATCAATGCTTGGTATATGTCATTCAGCATATTTATTTTATTTCACAAGTATTATGCCATTTAGCATACTTAAACTGTTATAGTGTCACTCCTGTCCTCGCTTTACAGTGCATTTGTTGCATTCCCCTGCACCTGCGGTACATAATGTCTGATAATCTCTTGTTTGTACATGTTCTGTATTTGTTCCTATAAATTTCTGCTGTTGTTATTTCTTGTGAAATTTTTGGATGAACTCTTGCTGTGCTAAGTTTGTTCGCATTTGTATTCAGGAACCTTTGGGCTTGTTGATTATACTAATTATGAGGACATGAAGTATGCTGTAAGTTATGGAGAGAATTCATTCCTTGCAGTAAAATTTTGTTTATTTGTTATTTGGTCCAATTCAGCAGCTTATTTGATTTTGTATTACTCAGATTCGGAAACTTGATGATACCGAATTTAAAAATCCATGGGCAAGAAGTTATATCCGGGTATTTTCAGTTTTGGGTTATTCTTTGGATTTAAATGCTATTTTTCTTTCACTCTTGGGAATTATGAATTAGTTGAAATTACATTCAAAGTTCGGCAGATCTGTGTTGGTATTATGTAGAACATGTTCCAGTATAGCATTATAGTAACACATTTTTTTTGAGCATCCTTAATTGGTTTCAAAGAAGTTTTGGTAATTCATTGAAGAAGCATAACTTGTTTAATCTTGTACTCTGATTCTGCTAGTTTTTCTGCCAAATATGCGTGCGCTATTTTTTGCCATCATGACTATCTATTATTAACTCCAAGTGCTACTGAGAGGCATAGGATCATAAATTAGTTTATGCATATTCTTAATGATATGAACTGATTGGTATGAAGTTTGAACTCCGCAAGCCTGTGTTTTTTCTTGTTTCTACATCTATTGTAGGTGAAGAAGTTTGAGAGAAGTCCATCCAGGAGTCGAAGTAGGAGCCGCAGTAGAAGCAGAAGTTTAAGAAGGAATAGGAGGTATGAACACTCTTATATTTTTGCTGCATTTACACATTTTCTGATGTTTGAGATATCACTGGTTTATTCTGCAGCAAATCATTGGATCGGTCTGCTTCTAGATCACCATCAAAATCTAGATCAGCATCTCCTGTCAAGCCCTCCAGGTAGTTTGGGATATGTTGTACTGTTCATCTCTTTGTTTGCTTTATGAGTTCCAATTCTTATATTTACTAACATTTTGGCTCATTGTTTTCAAAAAATTGTAGACCGAGAGACAGGTCACGGTCAGCATCTCCCCGCAAGGTATTACTTAGTTTGAAATTTGTAGAAGTTAAAAATAGTTAATGTACATGTACCACCATGCATGCACAAAAAAAATACGCGCGCTGTATACCAACGTGATTTGGAGGAAAAGTTCACTGTAAATTTAAGGATGTGCAAGGAAAGTTGAAAAATGGCAGTCTATTTAGGTGTAGCAAAAGTTTACATAACTGTAGTATTCTATTTTTTAAAGTTCCAAATGAATATTCCTGGATCTCTTATTAAATCTTGATCACTTTTCAGGTGCGATCGGGTAGTGGTTGATTCCGTTGCAACCTGAGTTGAACTTTTTAATTCCTGCTTGGATGGGAATGCTTTGCTTCATGTTTTAAGACATCTTAGTGGACTAATGGCTGGAAAATGTCATTTTAAATGAATTAGAACTTTGTATGGCCAGATAATATTTATCATATGCTTTATGGATTTGTGGTTTTATTTTTTTGCAATTATTTTTAAACAACATTGCATGCCTGTTTTTTGATCTTTTGGCATTTTTTTATACTTCGGATTGCATTGAAGAGCTGTAAAGCTCTTTATCGTTTTCTTTTTCTGAATGAGGTATTTATCGTTAATGAAGTGTATTTTGAAGGGTTGATATTTTATAGTGGGACTTCATAGCGTTTATATTTTGCTATTAGATGATCATTTCTACCATCTTGAATATAGAGTTTTTCATTGGGTAGAGTGGTCAGCTTCTCGAGCTTGTGCGTTTTCTCTCCCCTAGTTTGCCAGCAATATATATATATATATATATAGTTTTTCATTGTTTACTAGTTGAGTGCGATGGCTTAATTGGCGGATATGGAGTTTTTCATTGTTTAATGTTTTTTTATCTTGTTGGGAGTGGTGGGAGGGGGAGAGTTTTTCGTTGTTTACTACTCGTTGGCTTAATTGGCGGCGCCAAACTAGGTGATTTCAGTAGTCAAGTGGTAATTTTTTATTTAAAAATAATTTTAAAAGAGATTAAAATGTTAAAGACATTTGTAGAATAGTTCCCTATTGGCTTTTTCAATTTGCTAAAAGTTATTTAATGTAAAATAAAGTCACTACCGTCAAAGAAGAAATCTAAAGCCATATTACACTAACGTGACCATGGGACTAAAGGAATCATCAACTAACTTTGATACTTTGTACTAGTAATAGATTTATTTTGTTGGACTTAATTTTGGATTTGACAAAAAAAAAAAAAATTGAAGGTAAAGAATAATTAACCACTCGGTAGCGCTTTGGATTCTCGAATGACTCGTTACTCTTTTGGATTCTTGGATGGTTTGTAAATTCTTGATGCAAGTAAATCAGGTGCATTATTTAAGTTTTAAGTGTTACCTTTGGTGAGTATAAAACCGTATCAAATCGAAGACTAAGGAGAGTATATGAAAGGCCTTATAAGCTGAGTTAACTAATGCTAATAATATTCAATTCCGTATCAAATCAAAGACCTAAGGGGAGTACATGAAAGGCCTTATTAGCTGAGTTAACTAATGCTAATAATATTCAATTTATTTGTCTAGTCTGTTGCGGGGGTTGAGCCTCTCACCTTCTTGATGAGGCTATAATATTAGACTAATGACTATATTGATAAGGGCATCTCTGATGGACTCTTCGAATTCAGGTTCTCCGAATTTGCCACATCAGTATTTTTTCATAACCACGTCAACATTTTCCATAGTCACGTCAGCGTTTTAAAATCTCCAAACTTTAGCTATCGGATATACTCCAATGGTGCATTTTCGCTCTCCAAAAATATTAATATTTTAATATTTTTAAAATTTAAAATAAAATTTATTTTTTAACTTTTTCCTAATGGCTATATTTATAACGGCTATATTTTTCATATTATATAAACAACCATTTGTTCATTCCATTATTATTACATTCACCTCAACTTATTCTAACAAAATATCAATTCACATCTCTTTTAATCTTAAAATTCCAATGGCTTTCTCATCACGATTTTTTCCTTTGTCAGGCTCTAATTCTTCATCTTCTTCATCATCCTCTTCATCAGATTTAATTGAAAATTTGTGAAACCGCTTTGGTGAAGCACGTGTTTAATTTATGTTGCATTATTTTATTTTTAAATTGTTATAAAGTTTATGTAATGGAATATTTATTGTGTAATGTTTTATTTTGAAATAAATAATTTAATTGTTTGTTGATTAAATTATTTAACCAATATGTATGAAATTTTGATTAATATCATTTGATTTATTAATTTATAGTGAAAATAAAGACATTTTTTTTTTTTTAATAAAAAAAATCATATTTGAAATAAACAATGAAAGATTTCTAATATCATTTGAAATAAACAATGAAGGGTTTTTTTTTTTTTTTTTAAATAAATAAATATGTATATAATTAAATTTTTTAAATTGTTTTTCAAAAAATAGGTTTTTGTGCCAATATAGCCATTAAGGCACTGTTTGGGTCAGCCAAACAGTGCCTTAAACAGCTATATGTCAATAGGAATATTTTAAAAACTAATTTTTTTAAAAAAAAAAACACTTTTCTCTATTTTTTTAACACTTTTTTTGCCCAAAAAAGCCTTAAGCCAAACAGTGCCTTAACGGCTCTTTGATTCAATTATTTTGAGGGAAAAAAAAAAAAGAAAAGACAAAAAGAAGCCAAAAAGTCTTTTTTTTTTAGGCAAACATGTCCTTATGAATAGTGTTCTGGGCTTAAACACTGTTTGGGCCAGAATTAAAAAAATAAAGAAAACTGTTTGGCTAGCCCATTGGAGCAGTCCAATCTTCAAATCTGGCCCAAAATGGCCGGAAAGTTCATTGGACCTGCTCTAAATTGCTGAGAGTACTTTGGTTAATGTTAGTGGATTGATGTGAGGGTAAAAATTTTGAAATGACAAAAATAAATTAACTAATTATAGCTAATCAAATCTAATTAACTAGCTTGTGTTTTTGGTTCATTTTGTCATTTAAATAATCAAATCTAACAAAAAAAAAAAAAAAACAGCACAAAATTTTATACGATATTCGTTATAGTTGCGTGTACCAATTTTATCGACTACAACCATGTTAAATATATTAAAATTTCAAATACACAACACATTAATGAATAAATAATTAGATTGAATATTTTAGGCTTTGATGAGGAACTTGAGAACTATCACAGTTCACAATTCACAAGCGATCAAATCTAAAAATCAAATTTAGTGTTGCTCATAAACAACCAGTATGCTTATTTGGGCTTGTATATGTAATTGGGCCTAACAAGAAGTTCGGTTTTACTTTGTATTATGGCACAGTAAAAGATAGCACAAAGCCCATTAGAACATTTGCCCTAGAAGCCGATTTTATATAATCACATATATATATATACACACACACGTCCGTTTATGACCCTCGAAGCTCAGAAATAGGAAGCCCTAGACTCGCTTCAGCCGGCAGCTTCCATTTCCAAAAGGTTCTCAATCTCTCTCTAAATATAAGTGATTTTCATCGTTTTTTAATCTCTCTCTATTCAAATATAAGTGATTGTGATCGTTTTTCAATCTCTGTAGATAGCATATCTGTCTGCTGAAGATGTCTGCGAGCGAACTTGCTTGCACCTATGCTTCTCTGATCCTTCACGATGACGGCATCGCAGTCACTGTAAACTTCTTTGATCTCTGCAGATTTGTTTCATTTTCTTTAATTTTAGGGTTATATTGTTTTATTTGGTTGTCTCTGTTGTATATGATTATCTATAGGCGGAGAAGATCGCTACACTGGTTAAGGCAGCGAATGTGACAGTCGAGTCGTACTGGCCGAGTCTCTTTGCTAAGCTGATGGAGAAGAGGAACATTGGGGACCTCATCATGAACGTTGGGTCTGGTGGAGGTGGTGCCGCCGTCGCCGTCGCTGCTCCCGCAGGAGGCGGGGCTGCCGCCGCCGCCGCCGCCGCTGCTCCTGCTGTTGAGGAGAAAAAGGTATATTTTACTTTTTTTGTTTTGTATCCAATTTCTTTGGAAATTATTATTGTTAATCGATTGTAATTTAATGAACAATTCTTATTGAATCTTACAGGAAGAGCCCAAGGAAGAAAGTGATGATGACATGGGATTCAGCTTGTTTGATTAGGAGCTTGTTTCAGTATGTTTTGATTCTTCTTTTTTTGCGAAAAAAATGGACCAGCTTGAGTTTTAATCCATTATTAGAACTTTCATTTTATATTAAGAGGGTTTATGTTTGTTGTAGTTTGTGTTTGACATTATGATATATTTTCTGATTAGTTTCAATTTTGAAGTAGCTGAATGTTTTGAATTTCGTCACATTGGGTTTATCTTTAAGTATTTGTTCATTAGCTTAAATTTTGGTGATTGTTTGTTAAATTGTGTTGGGATTCATTGTTGGTGGTTGTTTTTATTTGTTTATTTTGGTCTAGATTAATTACACATGGTCACATAGTGAGGACCTTTTGCAATGAAATTTCGGTAGCAAATAGTTCAAATGTCTGAATGATGTTTTGGACCAAATCTTTTTGCATGATAGATAGTCTTTTTGCTACAAAAAATAGAATTCCATCACAAATCTTGTTTTTATTTTCATGAGGGAACCTGATTTTGTCTCAAGAGATTAACCTTATGTGACAATAGTCCATTGTCACAAAAACTTTAACCTAGGGTGTTTGATCCGTTTTTGTTTCGTTTGCCACTTTGTATTGTGCCGTAGGATTTGCTAACTAGTTCTTTATTACTGGAATAGGTAAAGCCTTTTAGTAGTATGATCTTCTCTTCTTTATTCCACGTATGATCTTCTCTTTTTTCTTTTTCCTTGTTTGGTTTAAGATTCGAATTGATACAGATTTTCTGAAGAATGTGTAATTTCCCCTTCTAGAGGCTATAAGCCTCGAGCTTCATCTTATATGAGCTACCAATCTGATTGAGGTCAGTTGTATGGTCGTCACTGTCACAAATGCTAATGATCTTCAGAGTGTTGACTACATACTAATTGGCTGAGATTTATGCCTCCACTCCCTTTAGTATATGTTAATATGATTCTTCATCCTCTATTTTCGAGGTTTCTTATTTGCAAATTTATGGACATTATTGGTCTTAATACCCGACTTGTTTCAAATGCCAGTTCTTTCGCTGAACTTGGACAGTCATTTGTGACTTTTATATCTGGTTTGGCCAACTTCCCAAATTCCAAAATATTTATTGTGTTTAGTCTTAATGTTTTAGTCCCCCTCATCACTCGGGGCTGTTACATGATGTTTATGTGGGATTCTTGAATAATTACTGAATTTATCCTTCTCTGATTTAAACTAAATTGGGCACTTCTTTCTCATCTGAAGGCTTAGATCCAAATCTTAATAAGTCACCGGTGCCAATATTTCAATAATTATAAATAAACTTTTAATACGTAGCATAGTATAAGGCTTGCTTTTGTGATTCCAAGTCTTAAGATCTTTTTGAAAAGATGTAACTATTATGATTTCATGGGATACTTGTTATTTAACTAGTGTGTTAATATGATGGTGTTCTAAGTTGTTTTTGCATTAATAGTCATTACCATCTATTATTGTTGTTTCTTCTAATGTCATTCTATGTTAATCAAAACAGTATTGTTTTTGCAAATGACCAAATCATTTTAATTGATTTACAGTTTTTGCATAATGGCAACTGAAGTTTGAATCAGACTGTTATACTAGTGTTTTTCTATTACCTGGTGTAGCCTTGACCTTTGAAAAGGGGACACAGACTTGCTTCTAAGTCCAGCCGCCGTAAAGAAGTCTTTGAATTCCCTTGATGAAGCATTTTAGGAATTCTTTTCCAGAAGCTTTGTTTGCTGGAAGGATTTTCTCAATTATCCTTTAAATGGTAATTGTTCAAATAAACGAATGATTTGTGAAACATTAAAACGTGTGTGGACTCTGAGATTGAATACCGAGGTCAAATCGACTATGAAGCTTAGACCGGTAATGATTTCTCATTCTTGATTAGTAGGCAAGAAAGTTGGATTCATAATAGACAGCCAAACTGTTAAAATGTGCTTCAAGTTGCGATATTACTCGTAAGAAAGGAAGAATAACAAATTCTTACCATGTTATCCTCTGCACATATCTTAGTTTTACTTTATATAACGGCAATGATTATTATTTTAGAATTTCTTGGAGCAATTCTTTTATTATTTTTAATAAATCATTATTGTTGAAAGAAGAAATTCAGTTAATAGAAGCATGAATTTGAATGAAAACCTAACCACAATGAACAAAAATTCAAAATAACCAATTTAAGAACATGTCACCAAAATCCTTCGTGCTTTAGAACTACTCTCTCCAACTACCTTCCCTATGCTAGATAAGACCCAACCCTCTCTCCATTCTCTTCTTGAATATTATCTTCATTTCATTCACTCGTTCGTTAATCATAAGAAGTGGATTTTTAGTTCTCCCAATGTCGTCTCGGCCGGTGAGAAGGTCGGCCTAATTTCTTCGGCTCCCATAAAGGACGACATTTCCTCTCCACTGGATTCCAAGGTGGCTTTTGATGGCATGAAGAAGAACAAGGACAAAGAAGGAACAACGTTCGTGCTGGAGCTGGATGGCTTGCACTGTTTTGAATCCATAATACGGTTGCCATTGTCGCGTCATTATTCAGGGTGGCATCAGGGGGAGACTCAGGTTCGCGGCCAAGCTCGATGGCCTGCATTGTTTTGAATAGTGAAGCCCAACTTTAGCCCTCGGCGTGCAAATATAGTAGCTCACTTTGGATTGAATGATAGTGATTCATGGGCCAATGACCTTCCAAATCTTTGGTGTACCACAAAACCAATTAAGTCAGGTGGGGGATCAAAGGCTGTGAAATGACTCGAGTAGGATCCATTTCTTTGGTGTACCAGAAATCCCAATCAGTTCTCAAGTCAGGTGGGGGATAAAGGCTGTGAAATGACTTGAGTAGGATAGAAAACAGGCAAGGTCCATCTGTTGCTATCGTCTAAAGTATTGAATGACAGAATTGCTTTCAAAAAGTAGTCATCTACACGGGCTAAGAAGCCTCCTATCCTAGTCAGTCTAGGGTGTTGTTGGTTGCTCGTGGTAACAGATAGTTATGTCCTTATCCAGTTGTATAATTTTTTTTTTTTTTTTTTCCTAGGTACGCGAGTTAAGTCTCACTTGTAAGATTTTTTTTGGCCTGAATTCGGAAAGTACTCTCGTTGTGCTTGTAGTCGGGCCACTCTGCGTATCTGGGACCAAATTGTCTTTCGGGTCCGATACTTGGTGTGACACCGGATTAAAGATTAGGTCTGATTGTAATACTAATTGCAATGAGTGGGCGTTTGTTCATTTATCAAAAAGTTCAAAGTGTTGATTAATGCTCCGTACCTATCATTTGTACACACTTCAATCCTATCCAAATCTAAATTCGACATAGAACAAGTCCCACTTGTAACAATAAGCTCTAACACTGCATTTTCAAAGAAATAGAAACTCTTCAGCTGTACAAATAGATTAAAAAATCGATAAATAAAAAAAATAAAAATAAAAAACAAAAATTCTAATAGGAAAATGTTGGGCAGTTTTCATAGGCATGTGGTCAGCGCACTTCATATGACGTGGTCTACTTTGTTTGAACAAACCCCTCGATAAGGTAATCCTTTTCATTATCAAATCTAGTCCAACATGTCCTCCTAGCTTTTTACTTTTACTTTAAGATGATCAGATTTTCTGATCTTCTTCAATATCTCTTCTGCTTTTTGTCCTTGCTTTCGTTCTTTTCATACCATCCTTTACTTCCCTTCACCACCAAGACATCCCCAAATTCCTTTCCTTTCCTTTCCTTTCCTTCCCTTCCTCTCTCTCTCATCTTAGATTTAAGAGGCAAATTAATCGAAACCATAAGGAGTTGTACCTACTCTGAGCAATGGCTATGGGTACTCTTTACATGGCTGCACCTGCTATTGCTACTGCTGTTGGCATTTATGTCTTTGAAAGAAATCATTCCCACACCAAGGTATTTTATGTCTTCTCATAGTACTCAACTTTTTCTCATATAAATTCTACTCTGCTTCTTCCTTAGTGGTATTTTTTTATGGTGTACATATATATATATTCAGGAACTTGGTGGTGGATTGCAGACATGTATGGAGAAGATGATAGATAAAGTGAAGGAAGAGGTGAAGAGCACCCAGATGCCCAAGTTGGCACCGCAGTTCGATGGGCTGCATTGTTTTGAAACCATGGTGGGTCATTAGTGCCTGTTTACCGTGAAACTAGCTTCCATCAAAGAAATCATTCTTTCCATGAGAGGGTTATATATAGTTTGTCATTCTGTTTTTTATTTTTTTTATTCAACTAATTAAGATACAGAAGAAAGAATCTTACTAAAATTTCTAATATGTATCATCATTGTTAAGCAGCATTTACCAAAAAAAAATTAATAAATATACAATGGAATAAAAAGTTCCCTGGAGTTGTGCAGGTGAAGAAGACACAGTCTTTGTGTTTGGTTCGAACTCTCTCCCATAGACATATATGCATCTACTGTCTAGCACCCAATTGCTGTTAACTCATAAAGTGTGTAGGATTGTATTACCTAACCACACCATAATAAGAAGATTGTTGGGAAAGGGTACCAATATAATGAAGAAACATTAGTTTTACCATCAGCTAATATGAGACATTGGGATAACACTTTAATCAATTATAGAAGTTAATTACAGAAGTTCATGTACAAGCTATTATTTATAGAAGTTAATTACTAGTTTATGTACAAGCTATTATCGACTAAGCAGCATATATCAAGACTACCAGGATGAGAAACCAATTAGCCTGAAAAGAACAAATAAAGGAACCACCAGGGCTGCCCATAATTTAGCAGGCAGCAGCATATCCTAAAAATTAATCTCCACTTGCAGTAAATACAACAATATGTTCTCTTCCATATCCGACTTCTGCAGCTTCATCAACTAATAAACTATTATTTAGAAAAGGGAATAACAATAACAACAATATTCATCTTTTGTGAAAGGTGAGGTGAGTTGCCTTGGCTCACAACTGAGAAGGTCGCTCGATGGGGGTTAAGGGGGTAGTAGGGTTGAAACAGCTCGTTTCAACAGATGAGACACCTATTACGCCTTGAATGTTCCAACTCCTCACAAGACTATAATCTCCTTCCTGCATTGGCAAACCTTCTGGCAATGCCGAATATAAGTGTCTTTGTCAAGAGGCCCCGGTCAATACTACAAACAAGGACAACAGCCCCACCAAAAACTAGAAGCTTTGGTATGTTCATGCCCGTTGGCTTCTCAGGCAAATCAAGAACCTGACCTTGAGTCTCTGATGATTCCTCAGCATTTTCCAAGGATTTCATGTAGCCTGGATTAATTTTGGTGCTGATCTGAGCCATAAATGCAGGTCGAGAGATTTGCCCCCCAGATGCTCTTGCCTTCTGGTAGTCACGTAAACCACGCTCAATCTTCTTGACAGTTCCCCACATCCCCTGCCGTATTCCAAACTTTGCAATTTCCCGTGGAATGCCCATATCTTCATGATGAAACAGAATCACCTCACATGCAGTCAGCTGGCCATGTTCCTTCCTCGATTCCACTGTTTCACGCATACCAAAGGAGCATCAGTTGAGAAAATTCTAGGACCACAAAGCATACTGCAGCATAATGGCAAACACTTGAATCACCATTTATTTCATAACATCTCCACACCAAAGCATCCACAGGCTTGTACCCTTTTTGTTAAAGAAACTAATTTGCCAGTCCCATAGAATTTTAAAGCCAACAACATATTTTACATTGAATCACAACCAGAGAGAGATGTATATATTCAAAAAGTAACAGAAAACAAAAATAAACCCTTCATTTACCTGCTTGAATGAACCAACTCGAGTAGCATAGGTCAACACGTCTTGGTTTGTCCCGCCTTGGAACAGAAGGGCGAGGCACTCCCTGGTGCAAGAAAATAAACAGGAAATTTTGGTATTCAGAAGGCTAGAAACTAGAACAAAGGAGAAAGAAGGAAAATTTTTATCAGAGAGTGGCTGGCCAGCTACAATGAAGAACCAAACTACAATTTGAAATACTTATCCATTTGAGTATTTGACTCAAATTACTTTCTGGCAACATGTCCACTGTTTTCGTTGCAAACCGTTGGTACGAGTAGAGTGAATCCATTATTTTTAATCACGCCTTCAATTATAACAGTAGAATCTCTTTATAGTAAACTCAACACACACCCTCTTCAGCTTCCCTATTCCCTTTTTGCCTTTAGACTTTATTGACTCAACTATGTTACGAGCACCATTTTTGGTCTCTCTCATTATACATGTCCAAACCACCCGTCAGTCAGTCAGTCCACCAGCAATTAACCGGATGGTGGCCACTGCAAAGATTTCGATAAGCATTAATTGCCATTACCATTGTTCATCAACTTTTGAACTATAATTTTCTACATCATCTTGTACTAATCATGACATTCCCAAATATCCAACACTATTCCTAAAACATCTTATAATTACACACAAAAGAAATGTTTCACCGAGCTGTTTGTAATGCCTCACTACTTAACACTCAACAGCTGGAAAGGAATACATTCACTGCAACCATCTTGGTTGTCCTAATTCAGTCCTACTTAATTAAGATCAGCAGCTTAGCAAAGAGTGAGATGACTTGGATATGTACAACATGTAGCTGTTCCACAATAAAAAAATGCTGAAAAACATTTTCTTCTCATACCTTAGTGATGCAGTAATATGATCTTCCTGATTCCCATATTCGTCGGCCTATTATGTACTCCCTGTCACTACATAAAAAGGGGAACTGTTCCAAAGAGCAAAGGAAAAGGTAAGATGCAAGCAAAAATGTATTTTGAGTTCCTAATGACTAAAGAGAAATTTCCTCACCTTCCGTATCCAACGCACTACCATGGTTCCTGTGGTTGGGCATTCCTCCATTGTTTCAGAATGAACAAGCATGTCATCCCACTTCAATCGGAACTCATCATCCCAAAAGAAGTCCCTCAACAATTCAGGTGTGGCATCCTCATATATAGTTCTGGTACAATAATGAGGAGGACCCGTCTAACAAACCCACCAACACAAACCATCAAAACAGATTCACATGCATAATTTTGCAAAAGACAGGTAAACAATGATCTCTGAAAAGCCACTAACCAAGATAGCGAATAGTGAACATTGAATAGAGAACCGTACCTCAAGATCTCTCTGCCATGCTTGGTAGTTCATATTGGGGCCGGAACGATCCATCATATGTTTCCAAGGAGGACCTCCATCTGTCCTCTCAACAAGATGGTATAAATACTCCAAATCATCCTCCACCACAGCAACAGGCTCCTCATTTTTTAGATGCAATGAACTACTACATAATTAACATAACATAGTCAAAATTTTGCTAGAAATGCTTAGAACTTCAACGGTAATCTGACATTAAGAATGAATTATAATGGGCATAAATCCAATTATGTGCCCATTTAATGAATGAACTGAGAGCAAGTTCAAATCTTTGACATATGTAAAGATGTTTGTGGAAGACCATATTGAACCTAGTTTTGGCATTGATATACAAGTCCCAATAGCAATTCCACTAGATGGTACTAAATTTGAAAATTTCAATGAAAATATGAGAAACGAGAGGATATGCAAGTCCCAGTAGGAATTCTATTGGATGATACTAAATTTGAAAGTTTGAAATAAAAAAATGATAAGTTTGAAAGTTTGAAATTTAAAAATGATAATTTAGATGAGCAAACACAATCCAATCAAAGCATTTACCTGCTGCAATTGGTGTTTTCAGTACTTGATGGAAATGAAATTTGATGCTTATCCACTCCACTATCCATACAACTTGGCTTCGGAACCTTAGAAGAATTCAAGCTCTGCATCGAACCAAAACCCTTTACAGGGGACGAAATAATAGAAGTGGGTGATGAACAATCGAATTTTCCATTATTTCTGGAGTTTGCCCATCTGGGTTTCCAAACCCATCCAACAAGAACACCAACAAGAAACGCAATCCACACCGGAGACAAAAATATCATCACCTCCATGAAGACTGCTCCAATTGTGGGTCTTTGCAGAATCTCCGAAAAAGTCTCCATCAAAACCATAACTTAAAAAGGATAATAAAGTTAAACAACGAAGATTGACACGAGATATGAAGCTATGAATGAAGAGGGCTTGAATTGATGAGTGGGGAAGCCAAAACCCATATGAAAACTCCGCTAAATTTAGCGGAGAATCAGAGGAGGAGAAAGAATGAGAAGAGAAGAAGATATACACGAAATGGAGGAAGGAGACAAGAGTGATTGGGCTAATGATGATGGGGACGCGATGGGTAGAGAGAGGGTTTATCAAAAGATGTGATTGGCTTTGGCGGCCTTGAATTGACTGGTTTCTTTGGAATTATTTCTCGAAAGTACAAATATACCTCTGCAATTGGCACAAAGAGGGATGGGCCAAAAACCTACACCGTTAAAACAAAGGGCAAAGGTGAGGTGAGAGAAACCAGCAAACCTACCACCACCGCTAAACTAAGTAGTGTTCATCCTCCTTCTGTCATTATTAGGTCTAAATCTGGGATTATGTGGCGGTCTCTCGTTTTCCACGTTATCAGATTGGAATTGGACCAGCCAACTTATATACTTATAGTATATTCCTCTCTTGTGCTATATATGACATGTATGGTAAACATATATTATATATATTAAAGAAAAAAAAAAAACATATATTATAGAGTAAATTTTACGATCTTATTTATTTATTATTATTATCATTATTTTTAACAAACTACCTTCTTTTTTATTTAATTTTTAATTTTTGAGGTTTATCAATATTCTTGCATAAATCCCTCTAAATTTTATTTTATAATTTAATTTATCTCTTTTAACATTTTAATTTATGTAATAGATTTTTTTAAGGCATTATTATTATCAAGTTTCACAACAAGAGACATTATAAAATATAAAGTGTGGAGGGAAAAAATCCCCACCAATGAGAATAATCCACGTCATCATAAATATAAACATATTCTTGATAAGTTTATAAAGCCCACTTCGCTCAAACCCAAATTGAGTTTGATACTAGTCCAAGATCACTGTGCACAAGCCCAATACTATTGTTATATGACCTTTAGCCCTGTTGAAGCCCGAATTAAGAGATTATCAGCCCAACATGTTAATATTTAACATCCGGTCCGTTACTCAAGCCCAGCCGGATCAAAGTATGTTCAGCCCAGTTACTCAAGAATGCACAAGTCCTATCAGTTGAAAGATTTACCGTAGAAGGAAAATTCTGAGATAGGAAGTTCTGTACAAGGCAAGTTCTATGTATGGAAAATTAGATAATGGAAAGAACTCTATTAGTAAATAATGTTTATATAGAAAGAATTGGAGGACAAGCCACGCGAGTCCTACCACAATTTTACAATCTTTTGTATATAAATAGAGGCTTAGACCTCCAATAAAGGATCAAGCAATTGACGCTTCTCTATACACTGTTCTTATTTATTTTTATTGTTTTTTGAGTGAGTTGTTTTATTTTTCCCAATCATTATTGATTGAGCGAAATTTTGCACCTACATAAAGTTTATGTGAGATATTAACACACTTAAATAGAAAAAACTTCAATCATTTTAATTCGTTTGAATCCAATTTATTTAGTATGAATGATTAGAGAGGGTCAATGTAGGATCAAATATATCTCTTTTTTGTTTAAATTTTCGATAAAAAGAATATAATAAATTTTATCTATTCAAGCTGTGGGTTTTCCACGTATTGAACCCTTGGCTAGAAAGAAGGGAGGGAGTAATAAAGAGAAATGGTGGAGAAGGGAGAGAAAGAATAATGTAAATATAAAATTGAGAAGACGTTATTAACTATGGAGTAATTTAATAATTTAAGGATCAAGTGGTAAAATTATAATATTAACCCATTTCTTCCCTTACACCCAAAAGGAGTAATGTATACACCCTAGGTGCCTCTTTTGTCCATTCCCTTCCTCAAATTCTATTTATTTTTTCCATCAATCTATTAGAAGAAGAATCATTCATCTTCTATAGAAATACTACGTAAAAAGTAAGAAAGGAAAATCTATCTCTACTATTTAATTTTAAAAGAAAAAAATGTGTAGGGCTGCCAAGTTCAACCCTAGTACAAACCTAGCCCAATCTTCAATCTTAAAAGTACTCAATTGGAATCCATCTCATTCTTGAATTTTTAAACTCTCATTTGCAGCTCAGTTGAGATTTATAATTAAAAAATCAAATTATTCCTCGACTCACTCCACATAAAAATGTAAAGTTAATTTTAATTAATGTCATATTAGATTACTTCTAATCACAAAAAAAATAAAAAAATTGAAAGGTTAATGCAAATTTCTATCATATTAATTTTTCAAACGGTTAACATATAATAAATTAAAATTTAAACAAAAAGGAGTTAAAAAAAAAATGTAATCATAATTTAAATATTATATAATACTACATTAAAAATAAAAAGTATGAGCAAAAGTAATATAAAAATTCGAATCTAAATACTACAATACCACTCAAATTCAATCCTAATTATAAAAATAATTATTCAAATTTGTAAAAATTTGGAGTCACGACGATGATGATTGAGTTCAGGTTCGCCCGTCCAAATTGGGCCCTTAGGGTGCAACCTATGTTGAAACCCTATCCACCCTTTTGTCGGGTTGGGCACTATGGCTCTGAGATGGGCGTATCACGCACCCATGCGTATTGTAGGACTTCTGAGCTGCGAATGAGCAATGCTGATCGCTGACACTTTGATTATCGAACCCTAGCCAAAATTTCGCTCCATCGTCAATTCTCCGACTCGAATTCACCCACCAATCTCCGCATTTCGGCATCAAATTCTTCAATCCTCCAAACTTTGATCGTCAATCTCTCTGCTTCAACAATGCTCTGTTCGATCTCTACTGCAAAATCCGGTTCAAACTGGCTCGACCGGCTCCGATCGTCGAAAGGATTTCCGGCCGGCGACGACCTCGATCTCGATCAATTCCTAAACCACCCAAACCCTAACCTCTCCAATTCTTCAGAAACAAACGTCTCCAATTCTAATCCGAGCAACATTGATCCGAAATCGAATTCCAATTCGACCGAGTCCGATGGAAGACCTGTTCTAGAATGCAAGAAAACAACGGAGATTCCAAAGCAAAACGGAGAACAAGAATGGCGTGTGACGAGTAATGTCCTCGCTGAGCTCTTTAACATGGGAGAGTCGGACGATTTCTCGAAAATTAATGGGAAAAAGAGTTCTCGCAAACAACCAAACCCTAAAATTTGCGTCCTTTCAACCTCTAATAGCGCTGAAGATGAGAAATGCTCTGATCATTTTGGAAGAGACGAAGGTGTTTCGGCTGCGTTACCGTCCAGTGGTGATAACAGTTGTTCACAAGTGAAGCAAATGAGTGATCAGACGAGAAAGGGGAATTTCGATGTTGAAGAAGAGAAGTCTCATGTAGATCTTTCAGCTTTCTCACGCACCGAAGTTACTGTTATAGACACAAGCTGTCCCTCATGGAAATTTGAGAAGTTGTTATTCAGAAGGAAGAATGTGTGGAAAGTTCGCGACAAGAAGTCTAAGTCTGCGAATATGGGGAGAAAGAAGAGGAAGGTAAGTCCGGCCAATGAAAATTTTGATGGAGAAAAGAGGCCAAAGCATGCCATTGTGCAATGCAGTTCAGCCAAGGAAGCAAACGGACAAGAGTGTTTAGAGCCATCATTGGAAGTAAGTTATATTATACCAGTACATAATAACTTAGTGATGATTTTTTCGAGATATATTATGTTCCGAATAACACATTGTATGGAATATAATTAATGCTTGAATTTCGAGCTCAAGATGCATGCAATCATGACTGTTTCAGATGCCATTATCTTCTACTTTCCTTCTTAGATTCATGATCCTTCTAATAAGGATTTCATGTGCAATGTATTTAGAGCTTTGGTAGTATATGCGACGGAACTACAGTGATGTTTCCTTGCTATAAGCTGTTAAGAATATTTCGTTGCCATCTTTTTTTTTTTTGGTTCTAGTCATGTTTGTTGAATGTTGGTATTGAATCTTGATATTATTGGGTGTCTTCTCTTATTATATCATTAATTATGGTTTTGAAATAGTAAAATTTTATGCAAAATATTGTGACGTTATGTGGTGTGAATTCGACTATGAGTATGCTACAGTGTCTTAAATCTGTAAGTAGAGACTTCTATTGCTTTGGACACCCATCTCTGGAGATAACGGTAATTCATTTTATATTATTTGATTAAGTCCATTTTCAATTCTTCCATTGGAAGTTGAAAGATCTATCTTTTTCAAGCTCAATGCAAGGTTGGGAGTATTACAAGTTCATCTTTGGTACTTGCTTGGGATTCAGGGATGATGAACAATTCATATTATGGAGATGACCAGCTATCTCTCTTAGAAGACCCTTCGATTTTCTTTTTGTAGTATTATTTTTTGCTTTAACAGTATTGAAGAAGCTATAATATACTGTCCAAACATGGTCGGAGTGTACTGCACGACCAGGCAACTTTAGTGAATTTGTTGTTTGCTCTACCTTGCAACACTAAATGTAGGTCAACCAGGATATTATTATGCTTTCCCAGATGACTGGTGGGAAATCAGTTAGATATCAAGAGCCATGTTCAAAATTAATGGTTTTATCTGGCAATTAAATCTAGGATGTAACACGCAACATGATAAGGGGAGTGAGCAGGTTCCATCATACCCATGTCACTGTTTTAGTATAAACCTTCTAAGTAGATGGAATGTGTGAACTTGTTTGATAATATCATTAATAAGCAATTACTTTAGGGGTGAAATATACCATGATATATTTGTCGTATGTTTTAGGCCTAGTAGTACTCTGGTCATTGAATTACTTCCCCAACAATTTTCTTACTCATCATGATAAACATTATCTAATAATACTTCTATTATTTATCTTAGATCATTGCCATCGTATAGCCTTGTCTGCATCCATTCCTTGCCAAATGTATTTAATGCCGTGGGAAGTTGATGATCCCAATAGAAGATTTTTAAAATTTTCTCCCTCTTACTTGCCACATAGTGGCTCAAAAGCACTTTCTTCATCTATATCCATCCTTGTATTAATGATATATTTTCAACTGAGTCTTCTTATGGTCTCTACAGGTATTTTAATGAACACTTTTCTAGCCATTATGAACTTGGAAGGTGTCTGATTACTATAAAATGTATGGATAGTGGTAGTCAGACATTATTATTAACTGTCAAATACTCCGTATGTTTGCACTCCTATGTTGTCATTTTCAAGTGGCAGAGACTTTTTTTTTTTGGTAGCTAAGCAACACACACAATCTCACACGCACCACACTGCCCCATGTGTGGCTCATACCGCTGACCTCCCCTTTGGGGAGGATAACTCGTACCGCCTAGGCCGATGTCCCGGTGGGATATGATAAAGATTTGAATCTGCAATAGCTATTCCTAGCTGTGTGTTTGTATTTAATATGGTTATTTATGCCTCTAACTGTAGCTATACATATTTAATTTTTGAATCTTCCTGGGATTTTTATTATTTAAGTTACTGGAACTTATTGGTTCCTTGATGCGGAGATGTGCAGTTTCTTACATCACTTTCCACGTGACTTGAGTATTGCATTCAGTATAGGAATGATCATACATTTATCTAAATTATCTTCAACTGTCAACTTGATCAATTTAATGAAATATTGTGGCCATAATCAACTAAATATTGACAGAAAAATCTACTATTTTAACAATTAATTCCGGGTGATTGTTGCTTAAAATTCAGGGCATTTCATTCTACCACTTATAAACTAAGTATCAATTTCACAGGATTCTGGGTGCTTTTGTATCTTTATGTTTCAAATGCTTTACTTGATATTATTAATGGTCTAATAAAGGTGAAATAAGACTTGTTAGGTAGATGCGTGCAAGCCCACACCCACACACACACTTATCTTGTGTGTTTTTTACTTAAATCGAAGTGTGGCTAGTTGCAAGTGCCCAACACCTGCATAACATACTGTATAAGTTGTACATTCTCTCCAAGAGAGTTAGCACCTCTTACTGTCGTTTTTGTTGCAAAGCTACTAATTAATCATAGCATGACACATGAAGTTTGAAGGAGTTGCTGCCACTATTTAACGAAAAAAAGGGGATGCCAAGGGGTGAATTGCTAAATAATCTGAGTTGTTGTGTTATGAAGGGTTGCCCTCCTTTCTGGGATGTGATATGCCGTGCACTGTAAAAGGCCCTAACTACTAAGGAGCTACACATTTGTGTGGGCCTAATAACTGTATATATTGCATGTCCTACGCTCAAGCTTTATTCCACATTCTATTTGTTGTGCAGGGACATCTACTGGTTGACAACACAGAAGCAGCCCACAATGAGACACCAGATACTGTTAACGAATTTCCTAAAAAGAGGCAAGTGGACTTGTAAGCAACATGTGATTTTTTGACGTCATTTATTTTCAATGCTCACTTGTTCCTTCATTCCGGTACTGAGGAAATGTCTTTCATGTTATGAATGACTTGCTTGCAGGTTTCCCAGGAAATCAAAAAGGGAAGGCTCGTCTGTTATTCTTATAAAAAGCATCCCTACAAGTAAAAAGAACGGGGCAACTGTTCCTAAGAGCCGTTTGTTGTTAACTCAAAGATAATACAAGGTTTGATAAAGATGCTATTCAGAAATTGCGAAGTGGAAGCAGTCATCATCTTTGGTACATCCTTCTATTTGACCATTTCAGTGGCAGAGGTGGTGGAATCTTGTACTGACACATTCTCCAATTTTTGATCAATTTGCCTTGGCGAAAAGAGCAAGGCCTTTGAAGTTATATTTTTGAATTGTCCCAACCATTAAAATAGTTGTGATTTTGTTCTCTTTTACTTTGTAGTCATATGCACATTCTATTCTTCATATTGATATTTAAGCACTTAATTTGTATCATTTGAAAGGAGTTGGAAAATGTTCCAATTGAAGGCTAAAAAAGAAGAGCAACGATGTTTTTCTCCAACCTCCTCTTTGCTTCTATTCTCTCTTTCTCTCTATACATTCTATACACACACACACACACATATTGACTCATGGACACATGCACAAATTGTGGCTCAATAATTGGTATTTTAAACTGTACTGCTTGAGGCATAGTTTACATATTGAAGAGCCATGTCCGGAGCTCATTTCTTTACATGCAGCATAGCAATTACCTACCATTCACATCTCATGCTGTGAGTATCACAAAATTCATTGTGAATCCATTTCATATCATTACATCACATGTATCAAAAGGTCTCATTGATGAGTAATTCATCATCTGTTATGTGATTTGTAGCATGGAGTATTTTGATAGACATATTTCAATTTTATCTATCAAAAATAAAGTACATAGATCAAGCATATGCCTTATTTCATTTTATGGTGTTTTATTTGATGAGGACATTGAGTCTTTTATTATTATTATTATTATTTGTCATTTCATGTCATGAATCATGAAAACTCTTTTCTGAGTATTGTAACATGACAAATTGGAAACATTCTAAAGCCATAGAGCCATGTTGGTAGGTGAAAATTTTGGCCTTTGAATTATCGTAACTTGGTATTGGGAAGATAATGACGAGAAAACTTGAAAAGAGCAGTAGTTGGTATAAACTGCTACTGGTTTTTCTTCTTCTTTTTGAAGAAACAACTTCCATCGAAGAAGCAAATAGATAGACAAAGCTCTGTAAATGCAAACAAGATTGTCAAATGAAAATTTCTTCTTTGCTTGAACTGTAAAAGGGCCACAAATGATGAAATCTTCAGAACAAAAACATGAGAGGCTTGTGGTGATTTAAGTAATCAGAATGCACAGGCTAGAGTCCACGCTGGTTAAAAGTTGTTAGGTCCGAAGAAGAAAGTAAGATGGTTAACATCTATATATTTATATATTTACTGATGATAATAACACAATTCTTACCAGTTCCTGTGTGTTCAGCACCACATTGTGCATGCATCTCATCTTACAAAAAGTGATCACCCGATGACCCGAAGAAACATCCTTCCACATTTCAAAACAGACTTCAAACCAACCCTAAGTGACGTTGCCTCTAGATGCTTTTGCCTTGACATTAACCAAACATCATACGGAGAATCTATAGAAAGTTTAAGACTAGAGCTACTTAAGTCGGATCTTCCTTCACCAGGCGCATCTATTCTGCCAAGTAGGGTTCCTTGGCAGGTTCAACAGCTAGAGGCTCTAATTTTTCAGCTTTACCATTTTGTTTAGGAATAATAAGTCCATAGCCTCCATCTTTCCTTTTGTATACAATATTAATCTCACCTGCAGCCAAGGCATAGAACAAAACAACAATTTAGGATTGCGGTAATAAAGCAAAAAAGAAGAAGAAGAAGATAAAATAAATGTTAACATCTTCATACCAGTTTCTTCATTTCGAAAACCGTAGAAATCATGATCAACATTTTCCAACTGCTCAATTGCTTCGGTGACAGTCAGAGGTGGCATGTCAAAGTATTTCTTACGAACAATCTGAAAAATGGTTTCACTGAGTGAGCATGTGCAGGAAGCTAATAGATATGTCTAAGCATGGTACTGAAAAACCAAGAACTATAGACAACAGAAAATCCTAACATGTGTAACTCAGCATGCCTGCGCTGATGGTCACACAATAAACATACTATTCAATGCCACATTTTACAAGGGTACATTTAACTTGTATGAAAATAATGCTGGTCCAACAAATTTATGCAACAATTATCTGCAAACATATCAAGTGAAAGGATCATAATGCACTGGTAAAATGCACAAATTAAGTATCCAAAATCATCTGTATATAACATCACCAGCAGGCATGAACACACTGTGTTGCCTCCAACTTTTTAACTATTCAAATTAAAGAAGAAAAATGACAATCGATAAAGGCAACAATAGCTATAACATGAATAAGGTTTTTAAGATATAAAAAGAAAAAAGCAACACCTTAAAAGAATGTGATGTTGAGAATCGAAAAGGCTTTTGAAGTATTATAGTGCTAAGGCCTAAGGAATTTTTTTAGTAAGTACTGCTAAAATAACACGGAAAAATAAAATGTAATGCTGCAATAGGAATGCAACTGGCTGCTTCATGAATTCGTTGCTAGAGCACATTTGCCTCACAATTTGGCATTGTATTCCAAATGATTTTGTTATGCTCCTGGAAGTAGTATAATCAACTTATTTAGTTGATACGAAGAGGGGCAACAGTGTTGCCAACGTGACGATGTCAAAAGTAATTTCATAGACCTAACACTAGCAGGGGTCACCAGACTCACCACCTACCTAATGGTGACAATACCAAGAAGAAAGACAGTTTGATCAACATTATTGCTCCTGTATAAACACTCCTACGGTTTGCAACCAGATCTCAATGTTGAAGATCAAGAAAAATAAGGGATCAAGGGAGTAAATTGAGAAAATAAATTGTTCTTTCAAGAGATGGCTTACTTGAGTACTCATCAAGAAGTAAAGAAACTTGACCACAAATATGGATTCTCTGCTTGCTATTATGGTGAAAGAACCTAAATCCATGTAGCTGAGAAATTAATTGTAATGTGTTTAATTTTATTGCTTCGTTGGAAAAATAATTGGAAGACCTGAGTGATTGCAGTCTTTTTGGGATGGGAAATATTTTTTATTCGGTTTTTATACTGTTGAGAGAGTATTTTCAACTAAATGTGCATTTAAAACGTAAGAGAGAGAGAGAGAGAGAGAGAGAGAGAGAGAGATTGATCCTATGTCAATGATAGAATGTAAATATTGAAATTATTGACTTGTGTGTGCCAGCCAACTATTACAAAGAGGTGTGAAGGGCCAGGGGTGGGGAAGGTGGACTTCTGGATCTTATATTTATGTTACAAAATGAAAATTTATGGAGCATGCATTTTGTATTTTGACCATTACTTACTTACCTATGTGAGGTACTAGGAAGGGAAGACTTGTGGATATGAACCTAAACTTTGGAATTAATATGAAGTCCGAACTTTTACCATTACACCAAGCAATGGTCCCTAGTTTTTGTCCCGAGACAATAAAATAAAAAATTTCTTTGGTGATGATGGAAATAATATGCAGATATCACACAGAATACATGTAAACGAATACATAGGCATCTATGCACAAGCAAACATATGAAACAAAATGTGAACCAACTAATAAAATAGAATGGTGGTAATGGAACTTGAGGATAGAAACAACCTCCTCGACGATGTCTTCATCTTCTTCGTCGGGAGCTTCATTTGAACCATTATCCACTAGTAGTGCCCCCGCGTCCCTGACCTTCAATCTGTTGAACCCTTTCATGTGCCGACCATGGTCTGAATCCTTCTCTTTAATCTTCCTCAACTTCCTCTGTATCATGGATGACACCAAATCTATGCTCCCGTACAGGGTCTCCGCATATTCCTCTGCCCGAACCACTCCATGCTTCTTAGTAAACAAAGTAACCTAAAAAGCACAAAAACCCTCGTAAACAAATCATCCAACTAACACAACCAAAGGAGGCACACATGTAATACTATGGTTTTTGTGGAGCACCTCGCATCTTGAAGTCTTCGGGCCTTTCCCCAATTCACCACCTCGAACTGACAGCCTAACATCAACCTCCCTTGCAATATGACTATGTTTCTGGACGGCCTTGCCAACCTTCTCTTCTGCATAGCTCTTTACCGTATCAGTTAACTGCAATTAGACCACAATTCTGTTTTCAAGTTTCTCGATACCCATTCTAAATTTTAAACAGTGTCCCAGCAATGGAGATAGCATACTTGGTTCGGTTCCACTTGGCACTACCCCTATTAAAAGTTAAAACAAAATTTCAGTTGCTTGATTCATTTCTTAAGGTCTCTTGTATTGCCCTTCCTTCGTGGAAACATCTATGCACCAAGTGTAGAAGCAGTCAGTAATCTATGAAGTTCCCAAAATGTCCCACTTTCACCAATCCCTCTTCCCAAACATGCATTTGGATTTGGAACAATTTAAAATTTTAATCCCATCCATGCATTGATAGAATGATTCTTAAGATTTATATTGTTTCATTATTCATTCAGTAGTTTAGGTTGAATATTTTTCTGCCAGAATCGCCTACCCAACCTTCTCTTCTGTATAGATCTTCACTGTCACCGCAATTATAGTAATTTTTTTTGAATGTGATAAAAAAGAAAAAGAAAAAAAAGAGAAGAAATTAAACACATCCCGGTTATGAAGATAAAAAATGGAATCAGAGATTTATCATTGAGCAACACATGTTGTAAAATGGTAACAAATAATAAATAAAAATTAAATAAAATAAAAATAAAAATTAACAAATAATAAATAAAAATTAAATAAAATAAAATAAAAATTAAATTTTTTTTTTTTTTTGGGCAACCAAAAGGGGGTTAATAAGGGTTACCTCGAGATTTTTGCCCTGGAGGATGAATTTGACGGAGGAGAGAGGACCATCCCATGCCATACGAGTGCCATTTCTCCAGCTCTTCTTCTTCGTGAGAGGAAAAAGACTGTGGTGGTTGACTACGAAATTAACGGAGGAGGGGTTCAGAAAATGGGACCTGTAAGAGGATGGTGTAGAGACGTGAAGCTTAGTGGAAGAAGTAGGGAGAAATATAGACGAAGCATGAGAAGAGCCGGAGATGTAAGGGTGACCTTGGAAGGTTGCTGCTTGTAACAGAGTCGCCATAGTAGTAGCAGCTTCTATATGTCTCTGCTAGGGCTGTATATATATATATATATAGTAATGTGAGAATAAATTGTGAAGAGATAGAAGAACAAGTAGGTGAATTTGGGAATTACAGAGAATTGGATCGATCAGGAAACAAATGGAGAAGAGCAAAGAAAGGAGATGATGAATGCTGGAAATTGATTAACGACGGTAGAGAGAGAAAGGGGTGGAGAGAGTGAGGGTGAGGGTGAGAGAAAGTGGAGAGATTTTTCTTGACTCTATATACAGGGGACAGAAGAAGACATGGGGCTATTCAAATTGCATTATCCGAATTGTTATTTTCTAGAGATACCCATGACACGTGGTCTTTGATATATAGTTGGGGGGACCGTGACACCCATTCGCTGCATGGATTAGGGGATAACTACCTAAGTGGGGCCCTACTCTTTCATTGCGTTTGGGCCATCTCTCACTCTCATAGATTTTTTTTTTCCCCGATAAATTTTGTGAATCTACTAAATGCGAATGAATCTTATCCATTATACATGAACCAGATTATATATATATACATACATATAGAGAGAGGGAGAGAGAGAGAGTAATGATCTCTTATTCCTTGTGGAGCAAGAAAATTCATCTGCACTTTTTATAGTGACCATTAAATATAATCTAACGGTCATTATAGAAACTTACTTACATCATTTCTTTTTGGGTAAAGTGCAAAAAACCCCCTTCAACTATTGGCCATATGCAATTAATCCTCCTGATCTACTAATTTGACATATAACCCCCTTGAACTAATCAATTTGGTGCAATTAACCCCCTCCGGTGATAAGCCGGTTGACTTTGGCTGTGAAGACGCACGTGATGGGTCACGTGACAAACCAAATTTCTTTAAATGACCATACAACCCTTTACCTTTACACCCAAAACCACTTAAAACACCCAAACACGCCCTTATACTAAATATACACTGTTCATCGTCAATAAAACAGACGATACCATCACCACCGTCCCGTCCGTCCCCATTACTACACCTTCGAGGATGAAGATGGTCGGCGAGACAGATCCGGCTGTGAGGATGGAAATGATCGGCGAGATAGATCTGGGTCTTGGACTTGGATTTGCAGCGCGGCAAGCTTGAGGATGTTGATGGCAGTGAAAAGCCGGTGAGAACAGATCCGGCTATGGTGGATCGAGCTCGCGGCGGATCTGGAAGAGACAAGAAAAGAGCTGTGAGAATAGATCTGGCGGTTGTGTGATGAGCTCTTGGTCGGCGCGGAGCCGATGAAGGCAGGTCGTGTAGACAGATGACTCTTGGCCGTGAGGTGCACAAGCTTGGACTTCGATAACCATAAATATCACAACTCAGAATTTGCTTCAGAGGATAAGGGTTTATTTTCCTCAATTTATTCGCGCTCTCTCTCTCCTCTCCTCTTTCTCTCTCTATATCGTTTCTGTAATTCTATATACATATATATGCACAAACTGATGATTGTATAATTCTGTTTGTATGCTTTGGTCGATCGGGAGGAATAGTGATTCGTCCGGTGGGGGGCCGGACGGCGATGGTGACTCTGGCGAGGAATGGACTGGCAGTAAAGTGGCGGCAGCAGCGAAATGCAGCGGTGAGATCGGCGGGCTGGATCAGCGGTGGCTCGGCTGTGGATGACTCGGCGGCGCTCAGATGAAGCGACGGCTGCGGGGATAAAGCTCGGATGGTGGAGAGGACCGACGAGCAAGGTAGGCTGAACGGCGATGGGCTGGTTGCGGCTGAACGGCGATGAGCTGGTTGCGACTTCGGCTGTGAGCTTGCGGATGAAGAGACGGCAGTGGGGACAAGCTCGAATGGTGGGCTGAATGGTGATGGGCTGGTTCGGCTATGGTTGACTCACGGCGATGGCCTGATTTTTTTTTTTTTTTTAGAATTTATTTTTTTAGCTGGTGGTTGCTAAATTTTTTTAAAACGACGTGGCTTTATACAGGGGTAAAATTGTCTTTTACTATTTCCGTTTACACCAATTGGCCGGAGATGTCACATTGGGGGTCAATTGCACCAAATTCAATAGTTCAAGGGGACAAATTGTAATTCAGGGGGGTTAATTGCATATGGCCAATAGTTGAAGGGGGTTTTTTGCACTTTACCCTTTCTTTTTAATACAAAACCATTGTTACTATTTATAGTTTTTAAATTTAATATTTACTAATACTACTAATTACAATAATAAAAGGTAATTACTCCCAAAAAAAAATTGAAACATCTTCGTCTCTGAAAATCACGTCTCTCTCAAACAAAAAACTACAAGAGACAAGAAAAATAATAATAATAAAAAAAAAGATTAAGAAAAAAATAAAATTTATTTTTTTTCACTTATGATTATAAGGAGAAAAGGAGGTAAAGAACTTGCAAATTCAATTTGTATGAAAAAAGAGAAAGTACTCTTGTAGGTTTTTATTTGAAAGAGACTTTATTTTCAGAGGTGAAGAGATTTATATGTATATATTTTTGAGTAATTACCTTTTATTATTATAATTAGTGGTTTGATAAATGTTAAATTTGGAAACTAGAAATAGTGATAGTGGTTTTTTATTCAAAGGAAAGAATTTTGGTGGGTTTCTATAATGACCGTTAGATTAGATCTAATAGTCTCAATAAAAAGTGCGGATAAATTTTTTGAGTATTTACCTTTTATTGTTGTAATTACTTTTTTTTCTACTCTCCATAATGGTTTTCAAATACAATGAAAGTATCATTATTATGAAATTTATTTAATTTTATTTTCTAACGAAATATTTTTCAAAAATTTTTTCTTTTGTTTTTACTTCCCAGTTCCCACAAAAAAAAATAATAATTATTTTTTTTCTTCCCTTCACAATGGTTTTCAAATACAATGAATGATCATGACTTACCATTAGGTCTAGTCTAGTAATCCAAATGCGAGGGAGGAGAAAAAACACTTTCACAATGAGTTTGTGCTATTATAAACTTGTTATTTACAATTATATTATTGGGTTTTTTATGCTTTCTCTTTTCTTTTCTTTTTATTTTTTATTTTTATTTTTTATCTAGCATTTTAAATGCGTGTCTTACATGTTATTCTTGAAGACAGGGATGGAGTCAATCTAGGCCTGGGGCTGTACCTTGCCCGTCCAATATAAAATATTTAGTATTTTTGTGTTTTCTTTACGTCCTCCCTCCGTCCTGCTTGAAGATACAAGGTATTTTGCATGTATTTAACTCCTAATAAATGATATGAAAATGAATCTTATATAAAAAAAAAATAAAAAAAAAAGTAAAATAAAATCCAAAGAGTAATAAACAATTACTAAATTTTTAGAAACCACTAAAAAGATCAAAGCTAGATGCATAACACTCCTATATTCACTAAAATGTAATGTCCATAATACTCACTCAGAAAAAGTGGCCGCGTGTGGTGATTTTGGATGTGTTCTTGTTCGTTCAAAAAAACAAATATATATATAATATATATCAAGTGGTGACTTTTTTTCTTGTCTCTTGTAGTTTTTTGTTTGAGAGGGACGTGATTTTCAGGAGTGAAGATGTTTCAATTTTTTTTGGAGAGAAATTACTTTTTATTATTATAATGAGTAGTATTGGTAAATATTAAATTTAGAAATTATAAATAGTAACAATGGTTTTGTATTAAAAGGAAATGATGTAAGTAGGTTTCTATAATGACCGTTAGATTAGATTTAATGGTCACTATAAAAAGTACGGATGAATTTTCTTACTCCATAGAGTACAAGAGATCATTACTCTATATATATATATATATTTCCTCCAAGAAGTAAAAATTTACATCCCATATCAAGAATTGAGATATGAAAGAGATTTAACAATCCATCATCATTACCTGTTATATGAAAAACTTATAATACACTTTCGGTGTAGTTCCCAACATGTTTCTAGTTTGGTGTTTCCATGGAGTGGAAATTAACATGGTTGGCAAACACTACCTAACATTGTTAGTTATATCCAACAAAACCCCAACCCCAGCTGTTGCACATCAGTCAACAAACTTAGGAAGCATCGTGCACATGGGGACACAAATGATACTGACTTATTCACAGATCAAATTTTAAAAAGGTAGATATAAACATGACGTGAAATATAAATTTTTATTTATATATTTATTGAATTAGATAATTATAGACTTTTAATTAATTTATAATTTTATATTAAAGTGACATGAGTTAAGAAGATGATACTATCCAAATACATATATATTTTATATAATATTATTCTCATATCTTGTTATTATAGACTTATAGTTATGCCTTTATTCATTATGTAGTGTTTAATGTCAATTTTTTTAAAAAAATATTGGACACTTTTGATATATGTTCATAATTAATGTTGTTTCTAAGATTGTCATCTGTTTATTTTATATATAAAGATGAATGTGGAATATGTTGGTTGAGTGCATGAAATGTGTAGCGATTTAATCCAAAATACGTAAGTCAAGTGTCTGGAATAATAAAAATTATTAAAGTGTCGAATACATGTGGAAAAGTGTTTGCAGCGTGTTGGTGTCTAACATGATGTCTGATATAGACTCGATACCTTCTTAAAATTGTCCGTACTTCTTAGGTACTTTAGAAAAGCTTCACTAATTCCCGAGTCTAATTCTTCCCTTCCCTCTTCCCCCAAAGGGCTTAATTAAGCTTGCAACTTGAAACTCAGATTTAGAACCTTAGCATAAAACCTTTAAAATGGTAAAGATTATTCGGGAGTAAAGCAGTCACAACTATCAATATTTAATAATTTCTTTCTAATACCATAGGTATGAATAATTTTCTTTATAAAAGTTTAGTGGTACTTTCTTGCCTTTCAAAATAAAAAATAGAAGGTTTGAGTTTGAGTCCTCACAAAAGCAAAAGTGGAGTGTGTGAGTTTATTTTTTATCAATAAAAAATTCTTTTATAAGTGTATCTTTCACTAGAATTAGGATTCTATGGTATAATAATATATAAATAGTATATTATATATTATATATTCAATATTGTATTGTATTTTTGTCCCATATCTGTCATGTACTTGATATAATAATATATAAATGTGTTAAATATTGAATTTAATAGTGTTAACCAAGTCAATTCTCAATATTATACGATCAATACAATAATGAAATCCCCAAAAATTGAAAGTAAAATACAAGATACTTGGCTTAATGCTTCAACCAGGCCCTAATTTGAAGTCTAGCTAGTCATAAGGATGAATCTCCATCTCTAAGCACAGTCAAAAAGCTTCTTCTCCAATCTTCAAAGAGAGGGAATCCTAAAGAGAAGAAGAGTCATCCAAGTCTTGCCCAAAACCAACCTCCTCATTATCTTTTCATACTTTACCTATCTCAATTTACTTGCATTCTTACTTGGTTTTATATTACTTATTAATTGGGAACAATTCAACCATTCTTTTATATCAATTGCTCATTGAGTTTGAATTTAATCAAGCCTTAATCCTCTATACCTTACCAAGCTATGCGACCCATTATATTGCGAAAGTTAAGGGTTCTATAAATATTAAAATTGAGCTATATATCGGAGTATAAAAATCGCGCAGAATTTTTGGTTACAAATACTATATAATATGTTACAGAGATATTGCATATTGTGACGTACTTGTATTGCATTGTAATATAATTGTGCTGATATTACTAGGTTTAATTAGAGCACAAGATGAGTGCATAGAATAGGGAGTTGGGAGCTATTTTCATATACTAAAAGATATAAGAAAAAAAATACCATTACAAGACTTTCATTATAATCAGAATTAGGCACGGAGTTAACATAGGACCAATGGGGGCGGATGTTTTCATTGAAATTTTTATATTTTCATTTTATATCTTAATTTTTTTTTAGAATTTATGAAGATAGCCTCACTAAAATTACAATTTGCCCCCACTGGAATCTTTTTTTTTTTTTTTTTTTTTTTTTAATACTTCAATTTTTTTAGAATTTATGAAAATGCCCCTATTAAAATTACAATTCGCCCTTACTGATTTTATACTTTTATATCAAAAATTTTCTGGGTCCGTCACTAAATTCAGAATCCTCTCTTATGTCAATTTTTTTTTTTTTTTTTTTGGATGTACCTAATATAGCACTTTTTCATTATGAATGTAACAACTTTAAACCGACAATGCAACTATTACATAAATGTGTTAAATATTTGAATTACAATATTATAACATTAATATATTGTACGAATGTTACATTTTATGATGTAATTATATTGCAGTGTTAGGTAGTTCATTAAATGAGCGCACAAGGTGCCTAAACAAGAGAGGATTCATGTTCCATTTAATGTGATAGTGTTCCTTAATTATTTATAAAAAGGAAACTAAACGTCCCATTAGTGGTGAGAATGTTCTAATTAGGGACTTCCTCTTTTTCATAATTGTGCAAAATAAGATGATTGATCCAAACTTAACTTGGCTTTAACAAGGAGTTTTTAACAAATACGAGGTTAGTTAGTGATTGGAAGGAAGGGAGGAGTCTCTCATGCCTAACTATACCTAACTGTGTCCAAGGAAACAGGGGACATGTGACCAACATGACATACCTCTAACCTAACCATGTTCGGATCTTCAATTTTTAGGCAACGTGACTAAATTCAATACCCGAATGTCCAAACGTACACATTGGTACATGCATCGCGGAGAAATAATCCCAATTACACGGAGCCGTAATCCGAGTACAAAAACGAGAGCACAAAAATGATAACGAGTACAAAAACGAGAGCACAAAAATAAAAAAATTTAAGTCAAATTCAAACATTTTGATTCTAAAGCCTCTCTTCACATTTTAAGTTTTGTTGCTAAGTGGACTCATCGCTCACTGTCCAAATCATTTGTTCACGTTATCATTCGGCCAAGAGTCAAAGCCCAAAGTCACACTCCATTCTCGATTGACAATCTTGCGAGCAACAAAAGTTTGGAAGAATTGTGTAACTTAGAAAATAATATTAACACTAGTGCTCGGGTTTACCAAATTGCCATCGTCATTGCCTGCCAAGAGATGCAAACACGAGGGTAGTTCCGTAATTCGATACTAACGGACTGCCAACCTAGCTCCAGCTTTCTCAGCAACCCAACCACAAAACGAGTACAGTCTGTTTCACAGTCTCGGCGAGTACATACATAGTCCTCATACAGCTTTTCGGAAATGTTTGGCATATACCATAACTTCAGAAACAGAAATAAATAATATCTCATCACCCACAACATGTGCTCAAAGTAAAGATAACACACAAACATAAAACATAATAGTGTATAATGCTTGATACCTATCAATATGTGTTAATATGATGTTAATATAAAAGTGGAGGTAAAAAATTCAGAAAAAAAAAATATAAATTATTAATTTGTTACAATAATGGTTATTACACTGTTTTCTTAAAATGAAATGATAGGTTAATTACTACTTATATTATTATAGTTGCAAATTATTTAATTTTTTTCCTATAATAAAATGATTAAACTCAATATAAAATTTTGTATAAACAATTTGTTAAGTGTAGAATTTTTCATTGTATATAATAAATAAAATGTTTAACATGTTATTATATATATTTCAAGTAAATAATCCAAGTATAATTCATTAAGTTTGAAACTGATATAGAAACTAAAAAAAAATTATAACCTATGCATATAATACGTCACGCTTTTTCACTAAATCTTGTTGTATATTGCTAGTTTGTTAGATGCATTCTTGAATAATCATAAGAACTATTAATGGTCGGTTTGACATGTATTTCGTTTTACGCGTCTTGTTTTTGGTTAAAATAGAAATAATGTTTTTCCTGTAGGAGTGTTTTAGAAAAAAATCGAAAGCATGTTTGGGAATAATGTTTTACGGTAGAAACTTGGGCCTTATTTTACGCTAATGTTATGATTTTGGGCCATGAATAATTGTCAACATAAGAAAAAATAACTTTTTGATATTTTGGTTTTGAGTCACTGTTCACGAAGTGTTTTAGTATTGTGTAAAATAAAACAAGGTCATATTAAACATATTTTTGTTGTCAAAATCGACACTATAACAGTTCAAAAATAAAAACAGTACAAACAAAACGCATGCCAAACGGGGCCTTTTTATCGCAACTTAAGTGATATTTCATCTATTTTTTAAAATAGAGAGTGAGAGTTTGCCGATAAAAGTTCGAGTTCTCGTGTATTTTTTATCAATAAAAAAAAATTATATGAAATGATATATATATATATATATATATATATATATATATATCACAAATCTTATGATTATGTACTGCTGTATGGGTGTATGTATAAATAAATATATATATATATATATCACAAATCTTATGATTATGTACTGCTGTATGGGTGTATATATTTATATGTATATGTATATATGCATTCATGTTTTGAATCATAAACAACTTTGCACCACTAGTTAGTAGCATGGATAGAACCAGACCAAACCAAACAAAAGAGGTTGGCATGACACTTAAGCTTTCTTTACCAGAGAAAGGGTCCACGTGGCCGATTTGGGCCACACACTTAAATATTAGAGATATTTTATGTCCTTTTAAAGAAAAAGGAGTACGGCTGCGTGTATTTTATTTATTTTTAGAGTTACTACATTTGATGATTATTTTCCTTCAACTTTATCGGTAATCAAGAAAAAGACTCAAGTTAACAATGAACAAAAATAATCTATTTGCTTCTACTAAACTTAAAGCCCTAGAAATGAAATTGAATTATATATTTGGTGGAATGAAATTAGAGTATTAAAATTAAAAAAAAAGTAACTCATAAGATTGAATTAATTTTTTTTTTTCAATTACACTAATTTTAATTTCAAAACTCTAATTTTACTTAAAATTTTCTCTAATTTTATAAATTTTAATTTTAATACATATTCAGAATTTATATATATATTTTTTATGAAAAATATTATTCCTTTCATCCCACAAAAAGTTTCCACATTTTCATTTTTATCCTTGTCGTTCAAAATCTAAAGTGCTATTTTTTTAATATTTATAATATACCTTTCTTATCTTGAAATTATAAAAATAATTAAAATTTGATAAAAGCTCATGTGAATTTATCCTAAAAAGGGTATATTTAAAAATTTATTTCCTACTGCTACAATAATTTTAAAATATATATATATTAAATATTACGCTCTCTCAAAATTAGATTAAAAAAAAAAAAAATCACTTTCGATTTGGTATTAGGTCTCTTATGTAGGAAGTACACGAAATACTTATCTTTGTGTTGATAAAAAGTCTGGCAACACATTTTGGGTAACCGTTACCCAATATATTGTCGTCCATTTGGGCTTGTGGTTGGAGTGAGGCGGTTACCAACTGGGTGGTTTTGCTCCTCCTCTGTCCTCCTTCCGTGGTTTCCTCTGAATTTCAGATATTTCTTCTTCTACCTGAAAATTTGTTAAGTCCCAGGGCTGAGGGATGGATGAGACATTTTCACACTTTCCTTTTTCTACTTGGTATGATGTAGTATTTGATTAATTTGGTAGAGCGGGGGGAGAGAGAGAAAAAAAATGGGTGAAGTAGTGGTGAGCAGTGAAGAAAGCAGCATGGAATTGGAAGAGAAAGAGTCAGGTGGGTCTGTTGTGCGGCGGCGGAGGTTTATGCCTCCGGTGGTTCTAAGAGTCTTGTTGGTTGAAGCAGACGATTCTACTCGACACATTATCTCCGCACTTCTCAGGAAATGCAATTACAAAGGTTATTAATTCATGCATTTATGTACTATGTGTGTGTGTGGATTTTGTATGGTTTAATTTAGTTGAGTTGTCTGATAATTGTTCTTCTTTAGTCTCAAATTTGTTGTCATTGAGTTTTTATAAGGATAAAGGTTGTGGCGAGAAGCAAAGTAAATCAATTGTAACCTTTATGCTTGTAAAAATGCTTGTTCTTATTTTATTATATTTAAAACTCAATCAAAGGACTTGTTAGGACTCGGATGTAAAAAATATATTATTTGCTTCGATTTTGGGTTTCCTCAACTTTGACAGTCAATGGGAAAGCTGGTAGTATTGCCTTGATCTCTAGGATTTGATCCACATTTAGATATGTAGGGCTTTGTTTGGTTTTCATTGAGGGAGAGGAAAATGAAAAAGAAAGGAAATACAGAAGAGAAAAAAAGTTTTCCCAATAGTTTGTTTCATCTCATGCTTATATGAGGTCAAAAATTTTAAATTTCTCAAAAAATGATTTCGGAAAAGGAAATAAGTCGATAAGCAAGTCGAGAAATTGTGTTCCTAAGAGAAGTCCCTGCCTTAGATTTCTTTTTGATTACCAGTTCTCAGTTGCAAAACAGTGTCAACAGGGGTAAATGTTTTCACATTCCTAATAATCTCAAGTGTACTAATACTTCCTCATCCAACTAGCAGTAGATAATTACTATTTCTTGTGAACTCAGGATCTAGAGTTTACTGTTCCATCACATCGAATTGATCTTGTCCTTGTATTCGGTGCATTGAAAAGGGCTGTTGGACCATGGCAGAAGCTGTTACTGAATCAAACTATTGAATGGTCAAATTAGGCAAGGTTTAACTTTTTCACTTGGAGGGAATTTGAAGGGCTTTACCAAGCTCAGTGCGTGTAAAAAGTAAAAAGCATGTTATACCGGTAACTGCATCAGTAAGTGTTATAATGTTCTGATGGCTTAAGAATCTATTAGTCTTAACTTCAATATTCCAATTAGGAAATCACAACTGTTCTATTGATGATAGAAGAGGCCAGTGCCCCATAATTTGCTGTGACTGCATGGAAATCCTCCAAAGTCATGGTTACTCGCACACTCCTTTCTAGGTGTAATTTCTCTTAACTTTGTCACTTTGGTTTTTCAAAAAAGTCGTTATCTTTGGTTAAAACATGACAGTGTAGTCTGATTTTATTAATGACATCTACATAATTTTTGGCCTTTACAGTATCACAATTCACAACTCTTATTAAGTCGCATCCTTTTTAGCTCAATGTAAGTGACTGCTTGATTGGTTCAAGGCCTTTTTGAGTTTGTAAATATTTTTATGTATCGAATCAATTAAGAATACACATACCAACATAACACTTCAACAAAGGCGTGTTTTATCCTACCCCTTACGGTCCAACTCCTCCCAACATAGGCTTTTTGAAGTAAATTCCCTTAGATCTGTTACTAGGAACTGAAAACAATTTTCCTTTTTTCAATTTGAGCAGTTGCTGCTGTTTCTGATGGCTTAAAGGCATGGGAGCTACTGCAGGGAAGACCTTACAACATCAACCTAATATTGACAGAAGTGGAGCTGCCATCAATATCTGGATTCGCCCTTCTTACCTTGATTATGGAGCATGAGATCTGCAAAAAGATTCCTGTTATAAGTATTATATGATCAATGCAACTTGTGGTCGTGCTTCATTGACTTGAATTTTCACTTATCTGAATATTTTGTTCTATCTATACTTTTAACTTACCAAAAGTACTGTAGTTTTGATATTTGTTTCTCATCATGCAGTGATGTCCTCAAACGATTCACTTAGCATGGCTTATAGGTGCTTGTTGAGAGGTGCTGCTGACTTACTTCTCAAGCCTGTCAGGAAAAATGAACTGAGGACTTTGTGGCAGCATGTTTGGAGAAGACAAGCTGTACGCTTGATCCTTATGTTCTCCAAAAATTTTGTTTTGTCTTCTTGGTAATTTAAAAAATAACTTGTTTGTTTGTATTGTTTTATTAGGCAACTGGTGGTGGACATGGAACCCAAGATGAGAGCGTTGCACAAAAAAAGTTTGAAGCCATGGCTGAAAACAATGCTGCTAGTAATCAGTCAAGTGGTTTTATGGCATGCATTCAGAGAAATAGGGAGCACATTGAGAAAGGAAGTGATGCTCAGGTAGTAATTCTCATTATCTAGACAATCTGTTTTACTTAAATTCATATGACGTCACTGCAAGAAAAAATACCATTTCCTTCGGTATAAAATCTCCATCTTTTGCCTCTAATGATATTTGGTAGAAGGATCCAATTGAAGATGGGCATAATTCTTAATGAATGGTATTAATCATATTAGTCTAAACTCTAAAATCTATTTCCAGATAGTCCATTCATATTTTCTCTCCTAGAGCCTTCTACTTTCTTCCACTAGTTGTATGCCATCAAGCTAACAAGCCTAGATATGGACACATATGACACGACATGACATGCTGTGGATACATTGCTATAATAAATTGTAAATTTGGACATGGATGAGGGCGAGAACATGAGGAATAAGATATATATATATATATATATATATATATATATATAAAAATTATATTATATACAGATAATTAATATTATATGATTGTAACATGAAATTTATAACTTACAAATCATATAGTTATAATCATCCCTGTTGCATACGCATAGAAAAAGACTTTATAAAGAAATAAATACGATTGTGTTGTATATGTATAATCTACACATCTAACTTGATGATTCCTATCTTACTCTCATGCCCACTCCTTCAATAACACTTTTTTTTTGGGGTCAAATGTGGTCAAAATTTTGTATAAAACTTCAATTTGATTTTCTTTAAATTATACTTTTTTTAATACTAAAAATATATTATTATCCAATATTTAAGGTTCTTTAGTGACAATTGGCACACATTCAACAAGTGTTGGACATGTTTCTGAAATTTTTTGTTTAAAAAATATGGACAAATCCAAGGTGTTTGAATCATAAGCAAATTCAAGATGAACTTAAACTCGCGATCTAAGGCATAACTTCTGTTTGAAATCAAGTTCTAAGCAGGCATTCTTTAACCCTCTTCTTTACTTGCAAAAGTGGATGATGGGCTCCAGGCCTCCTCTCTGTTTGTATGTATAGTGAGTGCTGGGACCATTGTTCTTTAAACATTGAGAGATGTATTGGTTCAATCAATCAATACAGTTCTCTGCATTTATGAGGGTATAGTTTTAAGCTCTTAATAAAATTATGTGTTGATATGGGGCGGTGCACCTCTGTCAAATAAAGTGCAACCTCATTTAAATACACGGATAACCATTTATCTTGGTTTAATGAAATAAATAAAGTTATATTAATTATTGCTAGACATAATTTTGCTTACATGAACACATGTATGGAAGTGTCCAAGTGTTTGTGTTCAACGCGTTTATTACACAGACACGGTGCTTCTTGGAGTTGTCCCTACTTTTTTAAATTTACACCTGGCATTCTAGAAGCAAAGCTTCCTGATTGCCTACCTCCTTGTGTGGAAATGCTTTGATGACCTCCAGCTCTGCCTGACACAACTCCTTCTTAGAAATGTCCCTGCTTTGTGGAAAATTTTGTTCAGTATTAATCTAGAAGCAAAGCTTCCGTAACTGATTGCCTCCTTATATGGTAATGCTTTTTCCTGATCTTCAAAAAAGGGGACCTGCTTACTCAATGGGCTCAAAGCTACTGAAGTAGCTTTGCCTTTGCTGTGATTTCCTAGGCTTGGAGCAGATGAAACCTTCTTTCTTTTTGATCTGATTTGGCTCCTGATCTTGAGCTCTGGTGCATAGGTGGCTGAGAAATAGTTAATTACGTCTTACAAGTCTTATAGTTGTGACTTGTGAGTCTTGATGTGAGAAAGAGCTCACATCTAGAGCGTGCTGTGTATAGTAATCTTTTTTGTGAGTGAGCAATGTTGTCAGGGGCTTATTTGTTATTACTTGTAAAATGTTGGGTGCTTATATGTAATTTCTGAAACTTTTTAGTATAAATAGAATGTGGTGGAAAGATGAAAGGATTCTTTCATTCTTTCGCTCTTTCCCCATCTCTCTCCCCTTTTCTCCCCTCCTCTTTCTTCGCTGCTTCTTCATCTTTCTTCTATTTTTTAAAGTCAACAAGCAATAACTATTGCATCAGTCATGTACTAGTCTCTGTTGTTTGTACTTCTTTTGATTGTGGGACTAGTGGTTGGTCTGCAGTGAGTAGTCTTGTACACACTAATGTTTTGTAACCATATTTTTATGCTTCTAGTACAAATTTGCCTCACTAAAAACTATATTAAATGATTTTATTTACATGTTGCATGCTGATGTCCTTGAAGTGGTTTTAATGTGCTTCTGCATTTTTCTCTCGGAGGCTCCTCATGGGAAAGGAATTTCTTTTCAGCTATGGGTTGGCTACCTAATGTTCATGTTGAGGGGTGTTTTTTTTCTCTGTGCAGAGCTCTTGTACAAGGCCAAAATTGAAAGCTGAGAGAGCGTGCATGGAAAATATGCTGGACCTCTCACAGCCGAAGTGCAGAAAATCTCCTGCCAGTGACATGAACATAGAGACGCGCAAAGAATGTGTGAAGAAAATGCTGAGACATAATGGTGAAGCAGACGGTAAAACACTCGTTTTTTCAATTTCGGATTATGCTCAATCTTCATAATTTCTCTCTTGCTTTATCATTAAAAGCATATGATAATTAGCGGATACATTTACTCGATTAGGACCAGTAGCAGCTGCTTGCAAAGATGTCTATACAATGATCAAGGGAGAAGAGGTAGAACCTAGAAGTCAAGAAGAGCATGCTAGCATTACTGAGGCTTGTGATAATAGTCATGCTCTTGGCAACTCTTCTAGAGAAACTGCCGACCTGATTGGATCATTTGATAAGAATCCAAAATCCAGTTATGGTGGCTCTGATTCACATAATGGTATAAGCAAGTCTGATTCTTCGCCACTAAGGGGTCTGTCCTTGAGGAGATCTCATCCTAGCGGTTCTGCGAATGGATTTATTAATGATAGGCATACATCGAACCACTCTGATGCCTCAGGCTTTTTACAGTGAGTTTCTTTTTCCAGTTCTTCATTCTCTTTATCACTTTGTAATATACGTGACACTCATTTTGGTGATTAATACGGAACCAGTAGATAATTTGATTGGCAAGTGACTGCATCTCTTGCCTATTTCATTGATTTTTAAAAAATAGTCATGTGGATGTGTGTGTATAAATTTGATAACAAGCCTAAGTTGAAGGAACATCCTATATTAAGCAACACTCCTGCTACAAAAACAGATTTTCCTTTCCTGCTAGGAAGCTGGTAGCCAATCCCAAATGATTGGGAAATGGCTTTGTTAAATTCAGTTGAGTTACTACGTAGCTGTTAAGAATAGGACTTTTCTTTTCAGAGTTGTGATTCTATCACAAGAGAACCTTGAGCAACCTTAAGACAAATCAAGTGTTCAAGGCAAACACTTTCGTTGTTTTATGTCTATATCTGTTAAATTGTTTGTTTCTTGAATCTTTATGTGCTCCAAATGTTCGACTCTAGTATAGAAGTAATTTCATTGTGTCATACTTTGTTTTGTATTGGCCCCTGCTTCATGCTTCTCACTAACTGAAACAATTATGCAACTTTAGGTTTTCTATTCTTTTCTGTTCTAATGACAGAAAATTGATAGTTCCTCTTGAAAAATGTCATAAGTGGACATAACATCTTAAAACTGTTACAAGGTTTTGAGTTCTCACTTTTTAGTAAATACCATAAAAACTAAAAAAAAGAAGTTAATTCTAGTTAATATAACATATTCTAAATTTATCATACTTTAGTGTTCTGGGAAGCAGGTTTTTATTTATTTATTATTATTATTATTATTTTGGGTAGGTTCCAAAGCAGAATGTTGAAAAATTATGAAACATGAATTCTGGAATTTTATTCTAAGTTTATCATGCTTTTAATGCAGGTATAGTCACATGGCAATGCAGCCCCTAAATGCAGCATCCGCTAGTGTTAGTAATCAAAAGGAAGAATATGGAACGACCGTTGATAAACAGTTATCTAGTCACACTCCTTATTACAACTTTGATAATCATCGTGCCATTTTAAGTGCTCAAAGAAATATGGTCCCTCCATTTGCTAATAAATCTGGACATGCTAAATTTGCACCATCATGCCCTCAACACACAGTATTTCCTGTCTCGGTTCCACTGAGAGGTACAAGGTTTGAGTGTCTCTATGCTGCCCATGGTTCTGCAGCGTCACCAACGTTTAGCACAGGGTCAGGCCTCTTGCCATCGCGGGGTCCTGGTTCAGCTAGCCATCAGGAACCCTCCTTTCAAGCAAATCCATTTTATCTTTCCAATCCTGAAACAAGGAAAGCGCAACAGTTTCATGATCTGCAGGATCAAAACACCAACAATTCCACCAACCAGTCTGAGCACAAGCAGGGGCACAAATTGGAAACTTTGGAGGATTGGGCTTATTTTTTTTCTGCCTCTGATCCAAGTGCGAGTAGTAGTTCCCGTAATGATGCTGGAAGTCCTCGTAACCACCTTGGTTGTGGAAGCAATGACAATGTAAATTCAATTCCTACTGTCAGGACTGCTGCAGAGAGCGGGAATGAAGAATTTTTCTTGATACATGATGGATACTCTCACCCATCTGTCCAAAGAGAAGCTGCTCTTGCAAAATTCCGCTTGAAGCGGAAAGATAGATGTTATGAGAAGAAGGTATACCATCATCATGATAATGAATTATAAAATGTCGTTGTTACTAATACATGCTCTTCCATCCGCTATAATCCTATTTTCACCCGGGTTTTGGATACACGGTCACATAGACTATTATTGGCTCTGCCTAGCGGTTGATTAGGAAATGGTTTAGGGATTTCCTTGGGTCAAAGTGCCTCATGTTGATTCTTCTTGTAAATAAGTTTCAGAGAATCATCACAGCACTTTTTGGGAGCCCCAAATGGATAATCCACCTTAATGTTCAACATGGATGAAAGAGGATATGTTACTCTTACTGAAAATTTTCAGATGCCAAATGTTTTTTTATAATCCTCATTGTTGGTTTCAATTATGTTTTCAGGTACGATATGAAAGCAGAAAAAAACTTGCAGAACAGCGTCCCAGAGTGAAAGGACAGTTTGTTCGTCAAGTGCATAGGGAGGGCTAGTTACTGACAGCAACTTCAATAACAGAGCAGCACAAGGATCCATGATCAATACCTTCCTCCTCCGGTATTCTTGAAGCTCAAGCAACAGAATGGTGATAGAAAGTACGAGGAAATCCAAGGCTTCTAGCTTCACTTGCTCGTTCAGCTCTCCATATTGAAGGGATTATTATCCATCCCTTGCAGGTTATCAATATAATTTTAACAATGAATTCCTGGCATTTTATGAGGCCCTTCCCGAGCTATTCCAATTTTTCCTTCTCTTCATAGTCCATATATAGGTACAGTCTTTCTGTGATTCATGCATCACTTAGGTCTTGTACTTGGTGTAACTCAAATTCTTTCATCAGACTTTACCTACAATGTAAGCCAAGCATGAATCTTGAAATTACAGCTTCTGACACCATTTTTGCAATATCTTGTGTAAACTGTTTGGCCTGCAATCTTCGTTGCTTCACATAAATTACAAGTGTTTTGTATGGATATAAGCGGGAAAGAACAGTGAAACCTGTAGATGGTAAAATCATTATTGTCAAATAATGTAAAAGAGCTGAAGCTTTATTTTCACAGTAAACTTTCAGTATTTAATATAGCAAGTGAAATCGCCTATTTGTAATTGCTTTTGTTCGGCATGTTTCGTTTTATATTTTTTGTTGTGCTCTAAAAAAATTATTTCCTCTAATGTATGTCATTTTTATTTTGTTATATTTATATTTGTGGTACGGCAAATTTACGCTTAAGAACATGAATTTTGCTCTATTGGCCTTTCAAGGCACTTTCCCGCACAACCCAAAAATTGAAGGATGATATGTCACATTTGAAATTTTCTACAAGGTGTTTGTATTATTAAAGTTGATGCAAGTACAATAAAATCCAAAGGCTTCACAACAATTCAATTCACGGGTATTGAGCTTTTTCTCTGAATCTCTGAATAATGTTACTCCACTAAAAGAACCATCTTGGAAAATGGTCCGCCAAGCTGAAAATTTAATTTAAAGATTCTCCCCCATGGCTTACTCCACAAGAATTAAAATTTCAGCCGAATCATTATCCTTTCAAACGTGAAAATATCCACTCTTCCTCCGCCAATTTACGTCCTCACTTCAAAATAAACAATTAAGCAACTTAGACCGATAAGCACGAAAACTACCACATTGTGCAAAATAATAACGGAAGTTAAAGTCTGTCCGGCCTTTCTGAGATGAAATAAACACGTTATTCGGACATGGCTATGGTTACACACTCCAAGGTTCAAATTTTGGAGAGCATGGTGCCTCAGAGACCTGTATCCGGCGAACCAAACTGGCTGAAGGTGACCAAACAAGCCAAGCAATGTCAACATTCTGACCACATACAACCCCTTAAAATTGAATAACAAGGAAAGCCCCAATTCTTTTCACCATGTTGATATCATAAACAAATGATATGGACCTGCCTTTGGCCCCAAAAGCAAAGAAAAATATGCAAAGTTTTAAAAAAGAAAACATATCGGAGGAGAGATCAGTAAAGATGATGGGGTACACCAACTTTCACTAATTGAAGGGCTCAAAACTTGAAATTCTAAAAGAAATACAACGACCCCTTAATTTCAAACTCACTTTCTTTTTCCTTTTCCTTTTCTTTTTCCCGGTGATTTGCTTACCAGGACTGTAATATTCTCCTGGAGATCCCAACTTGAACTTGAAGGGTCCCATTATAACTTTATCGAACATATCATGAAAATATTGAATGACACAGAACACCATCCAACGGCATAGAATGAGGGTGATGGATGGTCCACCAAAGTGTTCTCGATTAAATCGAAAGGCTGAGATTCAGCAACTAATGTACTACCAATTGTACCCTTTTCTTAACATAAAAGTAACGGCTGTAAAAGACTCATTAACCCCTACTAGGAGATGGAAGATTCTCAGAGGGGTTCCAAAAAGTCCAAAATTTAAAGATTCTCCATGTCTTCCTCCTCTTTTGAGCTCTTTTTGTGCACAGATCAATAAAATAAACAAACACCCACAACTTCAAAACTCTAATTTAATATAAACTACACATTGTTACACCACTAATTTATCACATAACTAATTGTCATGACAGCAATTTCTATTTACCAGAAGGGGATAGGTGGAAAAAACAGATGCTATTCAAACATTGCACCATTTTCTCACTCATCTCCAATCAACAGAAAAGCCTATTTGGCTACTCTATCTCTTACCACTTTTAAGCCTCCACTTCCTTCTCAATTATTCTGAAAGTGCTTCCCATCTGATTCCTCAACAGATAGATATACTGGTATATCTATTTCATCAATCATCAAGGTATATAAAAATTAAAATTTTTATAAAGCGTATACTCCAAAAACCTGATAAGAAATCTCATGCATATTCATGATGTGAAGTGACCCTATTAGGGAAATTCACAACATCAACATCATGGAAACAATAAAGAGTATGAACCCACAATACCATCTTCTGCTTGCCACTAAGGTTGAACTTTAGTTCAGAAATGTAAAACAATGGATCACAACATATTGAAATATAAAGTTAACATACAAATGCAACGCACAGCACGGTAGATTAACTTAATTTAAGGGATGTCATAAAAACATGCTCATTTCTGCAGTTTATTAACAAACTAGTCAGGCATTTAGTCAGACTTGGGTGTTGAACACAAACCTACAAAAAAAAAAAAAGTAAAATACAACTTTTTGTGTCTCGAACTTTATGCAGTTATATAATTTTTTTACACCTACAGGCTAATAAATGGTAAATACCACAATCTGGCATGCTATTTTGCTTTTGAAAAAGATTAACCTTGTCTCACATACTCTCCTTGTTCACACTTGAGTTTATGTCCTATTAAGCAAGAGTGGTTCACCAATCCAATGGTTAAGATGCATATTTTAGCGGGTCCATCAAACAATTTACAAGGAAGAAAATTAATCCCCAAGATTTAAAGGTACATTTAAGAAGTTAATAGGGAAGTAAATCTCTCTCACAGCAGCCTTCCACCACTGGGAGGAACTGCCAGTCAAAAGTAGCAACAACACAATAATTGCTGCTTTCTGCTTCCCAGTGCTACCCTTTATTAATCCCATTCTCCCACTTTCATTAGCCTTGTAAAATTCCTCTCTCTCCCTCCCTCCCTCTCTCTGGTTCCTCCCTCTCTCTCTCTCTCTCTCTCTACTGCAAATGTCTCAAGTTCTCACAAAATCTCCCAAACACTGTGCTGACAAAGGATTGAAGGTCAACAAGTTCTACAAGAAGCTATTCTATTTCTTCTCCACCTTTTTTCTCTCAATTCTCTCACTCATCTTCCTTGTCTGGTTTCTCCTACACCCAACCAAGCCTGAGTTCTCCCTCAAAGAAGTCGATATCTACCAACTCAACCTCTCAGGTCCTCACCTTCTCAACTCCTCCATCCAACTCACTTTACTCTCCAAGAACCCAAATGAGAAAGTTGGCATATACTACGACAAGCTACAAGTCTATGCCTCTTACAAAGGTCAACAGATAACTGCTGATACTTCTCTTCCTCCTTTCTATCAAGGGCATGAAGACATCAATTTGCTGACGGCATCCTTGGTCGGAGCCGGCCTACCTGTTGCCGCATCTTTCGGTTACGAAGTGGGGCGTGATCAGACAGCGGGGAAACTGGTTTTGAGTCTGAAGATGGACGGAAGGATTCGATGGAAGGTAGGGACTTGGGTTTCTGGAAGGTACAGAATTAATGTCCACTGTATTGCTGTCATGCCCTTTGGACCTAGCATCCCATCTGGTCCATTGAGTTCAAAGCAAGGGACTCAGTGTTCTACTACAGTTTGAACTACTAAGATTATTGAGTAACATGTTAAGCATCTAGTGAGCTATTTATGCATGGTTTAATTTTTGGCTGGTTTGTGGCTTGTTAAGTGTTTTGCTTGTTAATGCTTGTAAATTAATGATATCTGAATGATAGGAGTGAAAGTTATAATCATAATGATAATGGAAAGCTATTTTTTGATTGTTTTTCTTATCTTCTCTTCCCTTTTTCTTGTGATTCTGACTTTGATTAATTGCTTTACATGTGATGCGTTGAGAGAGCAAAAGAAGTTCTTTAGTGTCTTTGCAGTGGAGTCTGAGAGTGAAAGGTTGAGGAGGAAATGTTTCACCTTCTTTTGGCTATTTTCTGGCCTTAGCAAAGAGTCCACGATGATGATAAGGTTGACGGTAGAAGAGAATCCACAAAGAAAAGAGACAACAAAAAGGCGGGAAAGCACTTGTTTTCTTGGCTGAGGAACCTTCAATTTCCATGTCACACTTTCTCCCTTTAATAATTGTAGACTATATACAACTCCAGGCACACCTTGCACACTCACAAAGACACCTGAGTCTCAAAACTGCTGGACATTAAAACTCAGGTCTCCTTAATCCTCTTCATTTGCTTTGAAAAAACCCAAAAATCAGTTTAGATATAAATGAGCAAATACAGAACATACATATAATCATTTCCCTATATATGGCTGGTGTTTAAGGGGTACTCACTGTGTTCTGATACCAGGATATAGAGATGGCTAGTGTCAAGGAAATTATAAATTTTATTTTTCCTTTCTCCACCTTGTTTCTGATAAGAAAGACAAATATAATCTTAATTCCACTATATCTACCTTTGTAGCAAAACTTAGATTAGTCACCATTTATCCCCCTTTTCGCTAAAAATCTGTCACTGTCACAAGGCGAATGATTACTCACCTCAATAATTTATTTAGGATTTGCTTTTTGGTTCCGTCCATGTATTCGCCTATCTTCCTAAAAGCGTATGGGGGGCCAAAATGAAGTTTAATTGGTATCATGGGATATACCCAACTGTTATATATATATATATATAAAAAGGGTATACAAACCCCTAGCGGATGATGGAGCCATTTTAGTAACATCAATTTTAAGTAAAATTGGGTTTTATTTATAAAACTACAAATTTAAAGGTACTAAAATTTATAAACCACTTCCCAAGTTGGGGGACCAGTTGGTTGGATATCTGCAATTGCAGCCACCATCTGTAGATGTCTACCAAAAGATTAGGCAAGGATACAAGACAACAAAAACAGTTCCTCCACTGCTTTCTTAAAAGATAAAACTAACACAAAATAAAGAAAAGAGAAAAGAGGAAGTAAAGAAAGGAAAAACTAGTGCCATATTTTTCAAAAGCCAAATGCCTTTCTATGTTTTCCAAAAGCCAGTGAATTCCTACCTAACACATCCCTACAAATTACAAGATAAACATCAAAATCTGCTAGTACCTGAAAACATCTTATGGCTCCCTATTTTCACCTCTAAACAACTTCAAGGTTTAAATTTGATAGTAGTAGCAGTTTCGACAACAAGTGAAACAAGAATACAGACCGGAGAACAGTGAATAGGACATAACATTTTTCCAGATTGAAGGGGCGCATGGTTGTCTGATTTTTCTAAAAATCGAAAGGGAGATGCTCTTCTAGGAATCTCGACTTGGTTTCATAGCCTTCTGTGAGATGATCTCATGCTAGTGGAACCAGTGGTTACTTTAACTTGCACCTAACTTTTGAGTATTAAAATTCTTAAATTTAATTTGGGGTACAAATGGGAGGTTGTGTGCCGTAAGGAAATAAGAAAGGGCATGATTTACAGGTTGTGTGGTTCCAGTCTCCGAATGCTGGAAATTTGGAACTTCAAGGTAAATATTCAGCAGTAAGCATTACAATCTCTTTCCTTCCTTTTTGAATGGTGAAGTAATTATGTTGAGGACTCAGACGTCAGCACAGGATCTTTAAGAGTGTAGAACATGTCCATGTCTGACAAGTGTTCGGTTAACATTTTATAAAGTAATCCAGTAGTAAAAGAATTTTGTTATTTTCCATTTGATCTAAACTTTAAAAGTAAAAAGTTGTGAAACCATCAATGAAACATACTAAGGAAATCTAGCGTGTGAAAGTTCATTCTTATTTGTTTCATTCTTGAAAAAGAAGCAGGTGAAAGCGTTCCCTATGAAAGGGAAACCCCAATTCCAGGACTCTGGTACGACCTTGGACGCACTTTTTACAGGAAAGATCTCCAAAGCATAAATGCTAATGAAAGGTAAATAATACATACAAGATAGTGGGATAATCAAGGCCAATTGCTGGACAATAGTAAAAATTCGAACTGATAAGAGGTTAGAATATGGTTGCAATTTGAATTTGAGAGCAATGCTTTTGTGCAAAATAATATCAAAAGCTAGGTTAGTAACAATTTTTCCCTCCCAAATTCCTATATAGGCATAACACTAGATAATCGCGAGGATAGTGAGATTACCCAGTCACATTTGTTTCCCATTCTGCTAAAGCTATGTATTATCATTTTGGTACCTAGATAATGGCAGTCATAATCAATAGCAGGTCCCAGCATACACATCAATCTCATAATGCGTTTTGAGGCTTAACGTTTTCTTTCTTTTTGTACCACAACTTATCTCCTGCTGTCGCCTTCAAGAGCAATATAAAAAATCAACTACACGCAACAAAGAGTCAACGTGATAACCCTATTAACAGACATTCTTTATTTTGTAGAAAATTTTCTTCTTTCTAACCCAAAAGCAGTGAGAAGTCGCACTCACTCATAGATGGAGGCTTCTTCAGGAGCTGAGAATCACTGGACAATCGTTTGCTATAGTGGCAAATGACAGAAATATCTGACAGTATAGAACAGCGATAATTGGATGTCACATGAAACAGGCAATTGCCAAACCTTTGAATTATATTTAGAAAGAACTTTAGTTATCAAAAAATATATATTTAGAAAGAACTCAAACCAGCATAGAATGAAGATCAGAAACTATAGAATAGTTATCAAACAATTGGGATCTAACTGAGGATGATTTAAAACATGATCCATCATAAAAGAGTATAAGATGACAAAACTCCAGTAAATGAAAGTCCTTGAAAAGGATTGACCATTAAAGAGAACACCCAGCACTAGCAGAAAGGTGGTCCAGTTTCTACCTAAGAAGTGTAATTAACAAATTCCAGCAAAATAAATGACCCAGATGACAAAATCTTCCTGTTCAAAGAGTATTATTACTTTTTTTTTTTTTTTGGTACGTAAGCTGAGAATAAGATCGACTCAAAAACAAAATGCACAAAAAAACAAGGGGTATACCCCAGGAGTACAATTCAGAAAAACCCCAAAGCCACCAGGTAAGAAGGGAGGATAAGATACTAAGCATCACCAAAAAGATGTTAATCAGCCTATAGTATCTATACAGACGACACAACACCGCTCATATTGAGCCATTGCCTGCCCATTCTTGGACCATACTATGTGATCCTAATGTAGATGTCTTTGCCACTGAACTTTCTCATGACAAATGACATAGCTACAGCAAAAGTTCAGTCCCTTTCTACTCAAAACCCACCTAATCTTAGGAGGGGTATACCACCTGAAAAACCAATGACAACAAATATCAACAGAGGATGAAAAACAAAGCAGGACTTGCACCATTACACTCATGAGAAATGACTGTTTGGTTTAGTTCTTTGAAAACAGAAAATAGTTTTTAGAAAACAATAAAAGACTATTATATAAAATTAGGGATTTTTTAACTCAATTTTCAGATAAGTGTCAACCAAGCAAAATTTCTAATTGTTTTAAGCTTTTAATTTTGTTTTGAACGGTAGACAAAGTTTTTGCCTTTCCCAATACTCTCTTCTCTAGTTTCTATGCTCACCCAAGCCTTCCATACACTACATCTTGCAACATTTTTCCCCCAAGAACTGACACATCAAATTTCCAACCAAACCTTACTATAGCAACACTTGAAAACAAATATTGCTCTTCCCCTCCCATTCCCACTCCCACTCCCACATTTTCTTGGCAACTATGCTTGTAACAAGTGTTAAGGCGCAAACCAAGTAGTCATAATTGAAACCAGAATAAAAAATAAAAAAGAGGGCACCAACTAGAATAAGAAGATAAGAAGAGATGCAAAACCAAACTTGATCAAGCAATCATGTTATTCCACATCTAATTTCAACTATGCTTAGTACAAGGTTATCTGTTCTCATGTTCAAAATATGAACATAAACTAAAGGGACAAAGAAAACATTATTGTAAACCGCAACATGAACAAAAATTGCAATACCTATGAAGTTGGGGGAGAACTCAAACCCACCACCAATACCAAAAATCAAACGAATTCAGGATCAACCCACTTCCAATGATGCTTTTTACAAGAAACTGCCGTTTCAGCTATTTCCTTCCTATCAGAATCCTCATACAGATACTCCTCCTCCTCTTCGGTGCAGAACTCGCCATCCGGCAATCCGTCCACCCAAGCATCCACAGTATGCAACACATAACAAGCCGGTAATCCGGGGTACGAAGCCGAAACCCTTTCCTCTACCTTCTTCCGATAAGAGTTAGGTAATATCCTCACAATGCCGCTATCCTCAAAATTGCCGAATGAACTCCGAATTATCGACCCTAGCTCTTCCTTTACAGCCCGAGTAATGGCTGATTCAACAGTCTCTCCGGGTTTCATTTTTTCAGACAACGGCCGTGAACGGCTCCGAACGGTGCCATCAGATAATTCCTGGTGAGATTCGACGAGAATTCGACCGTCTTTGCCGATTACTCGAACGATAACGACCTCAACGGTCCGGACCGGAGGGGTGGAGTCAGCGAGCAAGGTCTCTCCTTCGGCGAGCTCGAGCCAGAGGTTGTGGACGTTCTTGGTGCCGGGCTTGACCCCCCAAGAAGCGAAGGAGTCGGAAGGCAAGCGTGGCTTGAGCCAATCGGATAGAGATTGTGGGGAGGGGAAGGGGTGATTAGGGTTTCTGCGGTTGGTTTGGGACATGATGAGAAAGCGACGAGGGTTTAATCGGAAAGAGATTGGGGGTGGGAATTTGTGGAAAAGATTGGTATTGTAAGGTTTAGGTGAAGAGGAGAAGAGGAGGAAGAGAGAGAAAGCTGTGAAAATGAAATCGGAGAGGGATGTGGGGGGCTGCTTAAGGAGGTGGTGATGGTCGCCGGTTGTGGGTGGCGGCGGTAGAGGCATGTCTACGGTGGTGGTGATTTTTAACGATAAATGGTTTGATGTGAACTGATGAGTCCATTAGAGAGAGAGGAGATTGGAAGAACTCTTGAGAAATAAGAGGTGGAAATGGAAGGCTTAATTAGGATAAGCCGATCAGAATCACATTTAGATATTCCTGTTTCTTGGTTTTGGGCATCTTAGTTTATTCTCTCAAGGCATAAAGCTCTGTTTGGCTTGTATATATATACTTTTTTTTTTTTTTTTTTTTTTTTTAACTTCATTAAAAAATAATTTATGATGAAAGTGAAATTACACGATAAAAATAAAATATTAAGCACGTAAGGTGTTTTTTTTTTTTTTTTTGAATCTTACTTATAAGTAGATGAGTAATTACGAATACCTTCTCTCTCCTAACTTCTGATTATTATTATTTTTTTTATTTCCAATTTTACTTTTAAAATAATTGGAGTATGAAGAAAGTCGTTTTTCTTTTATTTTTATTTTCCTTTAAAATTATTTTTTTTCTTAAATATATTGTTTCAAATTTTGTTTAAAAAAAAAAATTATAATTTGCCCGTCATTTGTTCTTTGTCCAAGAAGAAACTTGAAACTTTGTAGTGAAAATTCATAATTAGTCCAATTTTTTTTTTTAGCTCTAAAGACAAATAAATTTAATAAAATCTTCAGAGACAAAGAAGTTATTCTTTTAAAAAATATTTTTAAATAACTAAAGATTATGTGAATAATGAACATTTTTCCAATATTGTTCCTTATTACCAAATTACTATTACTATTTTTTTTTTTATATACTAAAATATATATATTTTTTCTCTACTTTCAATATTTTGTAACTAATTACTTCTATAAAAAGAAATTATTTATTACCAAAATAAATAATCATAAAAAATTTAATAAAGTATTTCAAATACACTTTTCGAAATACATCAGGATTTTTCCCAACTTTGGAAAATTGTGCTATTTTCACAGCTCGAAGCCCATCCCAAGCCTCTTAGATCTCAGGTAAATTATATTTAACATGTTAGGACAATTATTGTGTATCAAAATATTTTTCTTTTCTTTTTTAATAAATAATAAAAATCTATTTTACCAAAAATACTCAAATGAATTGCCAGTATTCCCTTTCCCCCCACAATTTGGACCATTTATTTCGTAAATTGACTACAACTGAAAATTTTCTTGTGCCATTTAAAGCAGAAGCAAGATAAAGATTCTGTGAAAGTGAAACAGAAAAAGCATGTTCACCTATTTTGTCCTTTTAATCTAAAAAAAAATGAAAAAATTACCTCAATCATTGAGAGTAGCTTGTCCACTAAAAATAATAAATAAGAAAACATATCAAAATTAGAATATTTGAGCAAAAAATTAGTTTCCCGTAGCTTTTCGGGTATTTACCGAAGGTGGGGGCAAACTTTAAACCAAAAAGTATATTGATTAGATGTATGCAAAAATCTATTTGTTTATCCAAAAAAAAAATTGCCCATATCTAGTCAAATATGACATATGTACAAAATTAATTTTTAAAAGACCAATTTTTTTTTTTTAGAAAACACAATGGAAAAATAAATTAGAGAGCCATGTGAATGTAAACTAATTATGGCTTAAAATATTATAAATCATAAATTAAATAAACTCAACCGAATCTTATTTCATCAATTAAAATGAATCCATTAATTTAAAAAATATGTATAAAAATAAACTAATTAAGGCTTAATTTGAAATCACAACAAATCCATTATGGTAATAGGCAATTTTAAAATTTTTGGGGGAGCCATGGCCCTTGTTGGCCCCGACAATACCCCAGGGTACCGTACCCTAGGTCTCCCAGCCGTCAGATTATTCATCAGATGGGCCCCACAACCACACGGCTGGGAGACCCCCGGGGGGGCGGGGGAGGGACAGTTTAGAATTTTCCCTTCTTATGTACAGGTAAGATTTATATACAAAGATGACCCTGGACATGGTATCAGAAAATCACTCAGTAGTCAGTAAAGCATTCTTTCAGGCACATTGAACTAAACTAAAAGTTGCTAGTAGATAACAAGTATAACAACTAAACTTGTTTGTGACGTGAGGATATGTTTCATTTCAAGGCAGGGTGTGTATCCTAGTGAAATTTTAAAATCTCACTTTCTTAGGAACATGCTAAAAATACCCAGACATATCCAAAATTCCTACATGAGAAGCAGGAAGGACAAACAGGTGATTTTAGTTGCAAACATAAGCAAGCAAATTTTAACTTGAAAACTAAATAGGTTCAAAATATACACTCTATAATCGATTGGAATACAAAATACATCATGAATGAAGGAACAACTAAACTCGCATAAAGTTACCTGCAACCGTTCGTTCCTTGGTTCAGGCATCAAACAATATTCAACGGCATCAAAGGATAAATTTACATCAAGTTAATTGTAATGCTTGACAAGCGAACATAAAGCCTAGACCAAGGCAACAGGTTAAACATCTACCTCGTCATGGTATCATCCTGGGATCTGCATAGAAAATAAATCCAACTTATCCAACACAGCAGATGGGACATTTGGTAGCATGGAATCCACGCCTTGGAATTAGAATTGAAGGAAATTTAGAATTTGAACTGATATAGACTTCAATTCCAATTTCAAAGTGTCGATTATATGCCACCAAACACAGCGTTAGCATAATCTGATTAAGAAATCGAACAGGAAAAAACTAACATGAAGATTGAAGACCACGCAATAGTTATGTCATAGCTTTTCAGCTATACTTGCAGGCATAACTTTCTTGATCCATCATAATTTTACAGTACAGGTAAATTTAAATATAGCATAAAGATTGAAGACTACGCATAAGCTATGTCATACCACCAAAGCCTTGGCCTGAATGGTGTGTCCTCACCTCCCAGAAGGGGAGGTTGAGTTTGTGAATATATTTATCTACCGAGGGGAGAAAAACAAAAACAAAAACAAAAACAAAAAAAAAACGTAACAAAATGTCATAGATTTTCAGCTTCAGTATCATCTTTAATGACGCAGAATGGATTCTCCTTTCTAAGACTAAAATTAAAATCCTTAGAATGCATAGATTAAGGAAGTCAATGCACTAGTTGATAATGCCAGCACAGACAGGTTCTTAGTGGTGGAATAGTCCAGCTGCATTACAGAATCAGAGATGTAGAGTAAAAAAAGAAAGGAAAAACAAGAGGCAGACATAAATTTCCAGGATACGTATATAACTTATGTAGTTCAGTGGCAAAAATTGAAAACCTTTAGAAACTGCACAATTTCTAATTGAAACAAGAACTCAATTGGATTTTTTAAAAAAGAGGCAGACATTTTTCCAGAATACGTATATAACTTATTTAGTTCAGTGACGAAAATTGAATACCTTTAGAAACTGAACAATTTCTAATTGAAACAAGAACTCAATTGGATTTATAAAAATAAAATAAAAAAAACCTCCATTTGATTTTTTCCTTTTTAATGAAACCAAACTCTACCCATTGTAATATTTTTTTCGTAAGTACAAGACGCACACGTCCCAACTAGGATTTAGCAACTCCCCTCTAGAGGTGACAGGAGATACCACTCCAGCTGATAGCTGGTGGTTGCATTATAATATAGATGTCCATGCTTCTTAAATAAGATTTAATCCAAGCGTAAGAAAGGAAATGGTCACCACTCTATAGGGAAGGAAATGGAAATGTCAATCATCTAAATCACAGATATTTTAACAACCCTTGAATCAAACATAATTGCCAAATTTTCTTTTTTTTTTCTTTTTTTTAGGTAACCATAATTTGCTAAAATCACATTTGAATTGCATGATATTACACAGGCTCATGTTTTAAAAGTAATGCCCAAATCAAAATATATCAGTGGCTCCCGGCTGCATGTCCAGATTGGCGTGCTGATTGTTTTACAAGTTAAGATTAACAGAAAAACCTGAGATTTATGCACATAAACAAGAGTCACAGTCATTCCTGTAACTCTCATAAACCAGAGTACAGTTTTCCTCTAGTTGTGTACAATAAACAAAATCAAAAGCTACATTACTAGTCAAATTCAATGCACTTGTAAATTAGAGTTCAGTCCAATAGATCTCTTCAGATATGCATTCATACCTCTCCTATTGTGAAATGCACTGTGCTTTCTCTATAAAACTCTTTATGTCAAAAGCATCACTGCCACTCTTTGTGATGACACCCTGATCAGATAACAAACATCATTAGACTAAAATCCAACCAATTACCTTTGAACATCTATTTCTGATAGTGCATGGATGAGAGGGAGAGACCTTTTCAGTAATGATACCAGTTATTATATTAGCTGGGGTGACATCAAATGCTGGGTTCCACACAGATATTCCAGAAGCAGCAACTTGTTCCCCAAGTCCACCATGTGAGTTCAACAGTTCCTTTGCAGATCTTTCTTCTATAACAATTTCTTGTCCAGAAGAAAGTGATAAATCCATGGAAGTCAAGGGTGCAGCCACATAAAATGGAATACCATGATGGACTGCACACAAGGCAAGACTGTATGTCCCGATCTTATTAGCAGTATCACCTGCATTTAGATTAAAATGCAACCATCGAATGTACATTCTACTACCAGATCTCAATGCAGCATATTTAAGTACCATTTGAAGCCACACGATCTGCTCCAACAATGACAGCATTCACACGTCCAGCTTTCATTAATGCAGCTGCAGCAGAATCTGCTATAAGAACAGCGGGGATGTTATCGTGGACTAACTCAAAAGCTGTCAGTCTGGATCCCTGAATTAGGTTGAAGAATCAAATAAACATCTGTATTGATAACTAGATATACATATTGAAGTTGGCACTATCTATAAACAAAGGCAAAAATTAAGCTGGTAGTTGTCAGAAAGTTGACTATTACCCATTCTTCTATATCACTTAGAGGTGAATACCACTTCAATGTACTCTATGTGAAAACACAACCACTTCACGTGATACACCATGCGCATGCGCGCACAAAAAAAAAAAGGTTAAATAAATAATAATAACAATGATGAAAAAATATAATGAAATAAAACCCCCTATTCAACCTCTCAAGCTAAACATACCCATACATGGTCATAACCACCTTCAAGTCACCCTTTGTAGTATTTTAATTTAATGGTTATCTCTAAGCCTTTGGAAACCCTTACAGACATTCAGAAAAGTTTGGAATCTGAAAGTTCCCCAAGGTGAAACAATTCACATGAAAAGTTCATCCCAGTGCCCTTGCAATCAGAGACATGCTTCATGCTCAAATTCCATCTGTCTATTTGCAAAGTAGAGGTTAAATCAATGGAACACATGCCATTTAGATGCAGTTGGATGGCCTCAGTTTGGTTTTGAGTGGCTAGCATTAAAAATTTGAGCCTGCCTCCATCTCTTCAGCCAGAAGTAATTCTCTGTAATTCTTAGAATTCCTCCCCCCTCCCCCATGAGTTTAGATAGGTTAGATTCATTATGCTTTTATAGAGCATCGCAAGTCTTCATTTGCTAGATAATATGGAAATCAAGGAACAGATTAATCTTTCAGAGGTCATTTGTTGATCCTCAGTCAACAGTAATCAGAGCTCATCTTCATAGCTGCCCTCCCAAAACCTACACTAGCTGAGGATTCTTGTTTCCTTATCCAAGTCCTCAAAATCTTTTCCCATCACTATTGCAGAATAATTACCTAAGTTATTTTATTCATGACATGTTCTAGACAAACATTTTACTCCACTCAGGCACTGCAGCTATTCACAGTACTTTGTTCAACCATGTTGTGATATTGCCCTATTGGAATGCACATTTTTTACTTAATGATGGTAATGAAAGTAGCAACAAGTATAAGCTATATACTCACTTGGTTGAACGGACGTGTTTCTGTACAGTATGCCTTCTCGAGAACTCCTTCAGCATGAAGTGCACGAATCACACCAAGAGCAGTACCATATCCAGCAGTAGCAAGACTATTATAACAGAGTGAATAATGATTAGCAAGATTCTATATGGTAAGCTCATTCTTTGCCACTTCATTTCTTCTGCCGTTTACTTTTTATCAAAACAATATACATGATATAAAGTAAAAAGACAAAAGAAGATCTTAAAGATCAGGTGGGGAGAGGGGGAATACCTGCCAGTGTTGCAATGGGTCAGAATAGACAGCCTCTTAGAGTCTTCCATCTGATGCAGAAGAAAATCAGCTCCATAGGATCCAATTGCTTTATTTGAGGCAACATCATCCCTAAGCATTATTTCAGCAGCTTCAATGTAAGCCTAGCATTAATAGAAATAGAAAGTGTCACAGAACATTAGTAACACACCGTGCTTCAGCTTCCAGTAAAGCCAAATTCCTAGAGAATCTACAGCGGACAATAACCTAAGGAGATTAAGTATAAAATATACACAGTTTTTAACCATTCTCCTGTCTCCTAAGCCGTATCCCACTAAGCCCTAAAGTGAATTTATTATGTAAAATGAAGAACAATTCACAAATTGAAAGGTCAAAAAAAACCTTTCCTCCTATTTTCCTTTTTTTTTTTTTTTTTCCCGGATAAGTGTTTAAAGAACAACAGATTCAATACCTGAAAAACAGGGCTAGCTTCCAAAGCATTTGCAGCTGCCTTTGATATGGCTTCTTTAAGTTTTGTTGCAGCATCTGAAAGATTCACAGCAGTTGGTCGGCTGACAAGGCATGCAAAATGTCAGCTATATTTTCAGGACTAGCAGGAAATACTATGACTACAATATCTAAAGCATATATTATGACCCAGAAACAAAATCACTATGTCACTAACAAGCAGAAAATCAGATTAATGATACCATCTACTAATTACCTAGAGACAAGATATTCCAATTTGATGGACAGGAAAGATGCTGCATCACCGGATGTCCCATTAAAAGCTTCCATGTTACACACTTCTACTGCCAGAGATAGGGCAGCAGCTATAGCAATTGCAGGCGCCCCCCGGACCACCATATCTCTTATTGCAAACCTGAGGCAATACTTTGAAAGAATTACTGAAACATTTCAAAGTTCTGGTTGATTCGCAAACTGGGATTACAACAATTGCATTTCCCGATAGAAATTGTACCAAAATAAAGAGAATGATCTAGACACTGGTAACAAGGTTCATTATCTTGCGCGTCAACCTTTTCTGCAAACAGTTTTACTCTGGTCTAGATAATTTTATTTGACTATAGAGAAGAGAGATAAAAAAAACTAAATTCATAATATACATCAAGACTAATTTATAATGTATTTATTGTTTCGTTTCGGGTGCGATGCAAAAATCAAGATAATTTTTCAGACAAAAAGGGAAAAGAAAAAGAAAAGAACCTGTCAATTGACACAACGTAAGGAGGAAAAAGCTACACACAACTCTCTAACCGCAATAAAGAGACAAATTTGAGTTAATAAAATCAGTCCATTACATGATTTTCGTGGGAAAAAAAATACTAGTATAACATTAAGTGTCGAATAGAACATGAGATAAACAGTACGATATTAATTCACGACAACAGGGAAAGAGCCGAAATATTTTACCATCCATCCGTTGAATCTTGAATATCCAAGTAGATGGTTTCAAGGGGAAGCCTCCTCTGTTCCAAAACAACGGTAGTCAAGTACAGAGTAATAATCAGCCAAGAACAAGATGATAAGCCATCACCAAACAAAAAAGTTACCATAATCAATCTTCATTATTTATGTCACCATCTTGATAGCATTTAAAAAGTAGCACAATTGCTTTTTTCTTTGGTGTTAGTTCATTGAACTAAGAAAATCAGCATTCATAACAATTTATGTATCACAACTGTTCAAAGATATTAGTAACTTTAATCGCTCAAATACTTCAGTAGGAGAGGAAGTTCATTCTGTATTGAAATATCATGGACTATTAGTCAATTAAATTTAAGAACAGTATACATATGCATATTCATATACACACACACACACACAAATACATGTATGTATATATAGAGAGAAACCTGATCGAGTAGCTTGAGTGAACCATGCTTATAGCAGATAGACTGAAGAGAGGTGTCCATTGCAGGTCCATCGGGTAAGCTCGAATCAGTTGCCATTGATGGGATTGATCAGCTCCTATGCGAACCCTATAAAAATCAAATCTTCGATTAAATTATATACGAAATGTTATGTTTGTGAGTCAAATTTTTATAAAAATTAATGAAGAATCATATATAAAAATCCATATTATCAATACCTAAAAGAGACTGAAAACTCTCCGAATAGAACCCTAATTTCTACTTTCTGTCAGCCAGTTCCGCGGTTGAAAAGAAAACAAAAAAAATGCAACACCATATATGCGAAAGCGGAACGGAAGCCAATAAAAACGATGTCGTTTGATAATCCGATGATGACATCTCAAATAGTTGGACCGACATATCGGCTTTTAGAAAACGCGACGCGAGAGGAATGGGATTGCGAAATTGCGAATCCTTTTGCTGACGGCGTAAGCGACATTTCATAATGATAGCTAGCGCCGAGCTGAGTTTGGGCCTGTTCGGGCTCAACTCATTTGTTTAAGGATTATGCTTCGGCTCGGCTCGTGACGAGTTAAAAAACTTGAGTCTGGGCTCGTCTTGATTTTAAAAGTTCGAATTTAGCTTGTTTAATAAAAATAATATATATTTTTTTAAAAAAATTTGTTCTCAAAATTAATTAGTATTTCACAAAAGAAAGAAAGAAATAATCTGAAAGGCCTTATTTACAAGCCTTAACGAGTCAATATTCACGAGCCTATACGAACCGAGCCCAACGTTATTCGGGCTCGGCTAGTTTACTAAACGAGCTCCAAAATTGGACTCATGCTCGGCTCATTTACTAAACGAACGAGTCCGAGTTATTTATAAACAGCTCAGTTCATTTGCAAACATAATGATAGTCTCGGATATGATTCCTTACCGAGCGACCATGAAAATTCGAGTGGTCTCCATATAAATTAATATTATTCTTTTTTATTTTAAATACTTGGGAGTGTAGTTATATATTGTTATGTTATGTTTGAGAGTATTAAGCCATTAAAGTAATTTTAATATATATATATATATATATATATATATATATATATATATATAATTCAAGACAAGAAATGTTAGAAATTAGATTAATCAATACAGAGTCGAAATCTAAATCTCTAAAATTTACAGAAAGTACTAACCCAATGAACTAGGCATCTGCATTTTAATACATATGAAATGCTGAATGGTCACTATTTTTTATTTTTTTCACTTTTAAAAGATAACCAAACATTTTATGGATTAACAATCCCCTTTTCTCCATAAAGTGAGATCCCAAACACATCCCAGACTCCTTTTTTATATTCTTTTAACGAGTCTACAAAAAAAAAAAAAAAAATAGAAAAAAAAAGGACGATTATAAGAGTAAACAAATCCTATAGAATGACCTGTGGTTTAAATAATTCCAAAATCTTATTCTACCTGGTGTGTGTGAGCTTTTTTATTTTAACATGAATTGAAATTTTGTTGTGAATGTCTGGCTAGTTAGTTGTTTTTTTTTTTTTAGTTGGTATTTACACATACATGTCTTATTTTTGTAAATTATTATATTTTTGTAGATTCAAACATTAATTGTATTAATTGTATTATTTTTTATATTTTTTATTAATCAAACATGGTTAACATTTTTAGCCTAATTGGACCAGAATCCTCTGCTGGACAAGTTACAACATAGGTGTTGTACAAGATGATTGAAACACATAGCTGGACAACACCATCACTGAATCCCAACTCCAAATAATCACCCTTTGCTATCATTGCAAATTTGCCACCAACACCAAGTTACATTGTAATCATTTGTGGTGCTTCCGACAATATTACATATAGATATATATAGGCTATGATTTGGATAGACACTGCTTCCAACATGAAGTGTGTTTGGACCTGCACCAGCTCTTCGAATTTTGACTCTCTAAAAACGCCACCTTAAAGAGTCACATCAGCAATTTCAAGAGCCACGTCAGCAGTTTTTGCTCTCTAGAAACATGCACTCCATCAGGCTCTCCGAATTTTCGCTCTAAAAAAAAAATTATATTAAAAAATTAATATTAATATTAATATATATATATATTTTTTACTTAAACGGTTATATTTTTAGCAGCTATATTTGCAACGGTTATATTTTCTCAACGGCAAAATTTTTCAATTGAACAATATTTTTGTAAATTATTAAAAAAAATTATGATTGATATTAGAACTTGAAACAATACAATATCCATTATGGATTAAAAAAAAATAATAATAAAGTAAACAAAACAATTAAAAATAACTTAAACAATACAATATCCTAAATTGGAATAAGAAAATAAATAGACCAAGGATTACAAAATCCTATGGGAACTTTGGGGTGGACCGTGAATTCAAAGATGCCAATATCTCATTTTGTCGCGCGATAATCCAAGCTTTCCCCGCTTTTGTTGGTGTCGAATTTGGATCTGTTAACATGAGCTCCTTCTCTTCAAGTCTCTGTTTCTCTTTAATCTCTAGCTGCCTTGTCTTCTCTTTCTCCATTTTTCTTACCTCTCGTGCCACTTGGGCATCCTGCATTTTCTCTTGACGACTCTCAAAACGGGTGGTGATATTATTAAATTTCGAAACGAATGAACTTTGCAATTCATTCGCTGAATTAATTTTTGCTCGACGCTGCTTCGCCGCTTTTCTTCCTGCTGGTCTTTGTAGTTGATATTCTTCCACACCGGGTGAATCATTTTCTCCTATGTGTGGTGATTCTTCAGTTGAAGCTCCATCTGTCGTGGCTGCATGGCTTGACGGAGTAGATGGTAATGAGTGCCCAACAGGCTCATTAATGTCAAAGTCAAATCCATTCCTCTTCTTCTGCTCTTTTTTCTTTTTTCCTTTTCCAACTTGTTCAGCACAATGTGAATTCCATTTATTGTTATGCTTCAAGATCTCCCAACAACTTTCTAACTTAAATTCACCACCTGTTTGACTACGAAACAGGTCTTTAGCTGCTATTATCTACACAAAAAAAATAACAAAAAATTAAAAGTCGACTATTTAAAATATTTACGAGTTATATTTAAACAATAAATAACTCACCATATCATCACTGCTGAAGCCGCTGAGACGATTCATTTCTATGGTAGTCATGCAGCCAGAAAATTTGCTGATTTTTTGTTAGATCACCGACCAACGATTCATTAAACCTCCATAATTTCGCTCAGTTGGAGGAACACCAATATGTTGTATATATTGTTCCAGAATTCGCTCCCATAACTTCTTCTTACTTTGGTCTGCCCCCGTAATCGCATCAGAGGTTATGGACAACCACGCCCAACATAAAGCTTCATCTTCAGCCTTGGTCCAATTATTAGGTCGGATAGCCGGTTGTTTTGACAGGGGTTTTGAGTTACTTGATTGTGGAACACTAGTACCATATTTGATGAGAAGTTTGGGATGGTCGATAAGAAGGTTGGGATGATTGATGAGAAGGAAATTGAGAATCTTTTCCATGAAAATTGATATTTTCTTCCGGAAATGGCAAAAACTCATCGTTTGATGGGTTGAATTGGGTGTTGTAATAATATGGATGTCGAGGATCTATGGAATCGAAATGACTTTGAAAATAATATATAAGATTGAGAAAATAGAAGAAGAAATAAGTTGAATGATAGATAATAGAGATATGATGAGTGATGATAAGAGTTGGGGTATTTATAGAGATTTTAAAAATTTTTTTTGAATAAAGTTAAAAAATTTGAATTTTTAAACTTTTTTTTTTTTAAAATTATAGCCATTAAGGCACTGTTTGGTATTGTAGAAATAGTGCCTTAACGGCCAAATACCCTATTTGGCCTACTCATTTAAAATTTAAAGCAAAATTTTTTTTAAAAAAAAAACCAAATTTTGAGGGAAAAAACAAAAAAAAAAGAAAGGTAAAATTTGAATTTTTAAATTTTTTTTTTTTAAATTTAAAGCAAAATTTTTTTTAAAAAAAAAACCAAATTTTGAGGGAAAAAAAAAAAAAAAAAGGTAAAATTTGAATTTTTAAACATTTTTTTTTAAAATTATAGCTGTTAAGGCACTGTTTGGTACTGTAGAAATAGTGCCTTAACGGCCAAATACACTATTTGGCCTACTCATTTAAAATTTAAAGCAATTTTTTTTTTTTAAAAAAAAACCAAATTTTAAGGGAAAAAACGAAAAAAAAAGAAGGTAAAATTTGAATTTTTAAACTTTTTTTTAAAATTAAAGCCGTTAAGGCACTGTTTGGTACTGTAGAAACAGTGCCTTACAGCCAAATACACTATTTAGCATACACATTTAAAATTTAAAGCAAAATTTTTTTTTAAAAAAACTAAATTTTAAGGGCAAAAACAAAAAAAAAAAAATGTTTTTTAATATATTTTTGGCTTAATTTTTTTTTTTTTTGACAAACAATGCCTAAACAATATATTTTTTTATTTAATGAATTATATTTAATTTTTTTTCCAAAAAAACGAGCTCTAAATAACCTATTTTTAGGTTTTTTTTTTTTTTTTTTTTTAAGAGGCACCGTTTGGCGCACTGTTACAGCAGGATAAAAAACAAAATACAGCCTTCTTGCAAACGACGCCGTTTTGGCGCAGAAAAGACAAAAAAAAATTTCCACGATCGCGGGCCGGCTCGCTGAATACCGCGAGCCTAAAATGGGTCCTACTTGTTTGAAGAGCCCGCTGCAAGAGAGAAAGCTCGTTTGGCTTGCGGAAAATGGGTTTCGCTAGTGGGCTACGGATGGCCTTAAGGCACGAAGTTATATGCAGTCATTTGTGGCCATCATTATATATATATATATATATATATATATATACATATATTATTTCGCACTTGTGATAACAACCATGTAAGGTCTGAATCCTCCCACTTTCAAGTTTCAGCCCAAACCCTCATTTTCACGAATAGGATTATTCCCTTTTTGTTGCTAAGATTCGACATTAATAAATGAGAAAATGGAATCTTACAACATAGTGTGAGGATTTTCTATCCTACATTCCAAGAAAATTAAGCAAACAAAATCTTTTTATTTGGTATATGTAGATTGGATTTATTTGTTTTCTTATTCTCATATACGAGTGAAGACTTACATATGATGTAAACCCAATCACGCACACTCAAATCTTTTTCAAAAATTCTATGACATAAGTGTTGTAAGCAGAGCACATTACGCGGAAACCTTCAAAACCAGCTCCCTTTGCCAATTCCTCGAATTCTTTCTCAGTCCTCTCTTTTCCGCCCAAGTTATAAGCTAACATGATCACATCGATATGGATC